TCACAGCTGTGGCTTCAAGTTCATGTTTATGTATCTAGAGAGAGCCTCGAATCGCAGTGTGTCCTCCACCTTACTCCCCGCTGCTGCAGGCAACCGCACTGGAAGCAGCAACCTGAATAAAGCCAGCTTAAACCCCAGCTCCCTACCAAATAAGCAAACTTTCTGTTGCTGCCCATACACAGGCTAGACCTGGTACTGCTGCTGGCCACCAGCCCGCGCCGAGACCCTGTGCGGGGTCAGTTGTGTTAGCTGAAAACAAGCCACTACAGACAAAGGTCTAAGGTCCGATACCAAAGGTCTGTCTCTTGAGCCGCCGCCTGCTCTCCTCCCATTAAAGGAGTCCACAGTGGCGGGGAGCGAGGCAAAGGGACCATGGGTTGGCTATCTAGCTAGCTTGTCTCATTTGTGTTCAGAGAAAGAGCTCTACAATGAAATAAGATCAAATAAATCAGTGTGTGGGAAAGGGAGAGAGCGTAGAGCTGCAGGAGGAGGGTGTACTTTTAGATTCTGTTGTTTTTTTGTTGCCTTCTCCAGATTCCTGCTTACCCCAGTTTTGAAATATAAATATAAAAATTCCCATTTTAGTATCTGTTGTCAGGTTATGTAAGCAGCTCCTTTAATAACAAGAGTAGTAACATGTTTTAATGAGTCTCATGGCAACAGAGCAATTCTCTCACTCGAGTCCTTGGATGAAGAAATGTAATGTTCCCAACATGAATAGTAAGTGGAAAGTGTATTTCAATGCTCTGAGCATCAGTTTGTATTCATATTGCCCTCTCGTTGTTTGGGATTGTTTTAGCAGCGCTGTCGAGCTGCTGCGACTCTGCGTGACGACGTGTTTAATCACCATGACAGCCACATATGTCTGAGAGGACAGAGGACGGAGTTTGTTTCCCCCCGTGAGCTCAGTTCATCTCTGCTGCTGCAGAAACTGTGGCCCACTTTCACAGCCCGCTCTGCCCTCTACCGCTGTCCTGCACTCACCCTGCTCTCCCTCTCCTAATTCATTACTCCCACATCCCTACTCAAGATGCTTAATTTCCTCCCACCTCAAGCTGCTGCTGTCCCTTCAGTTTGTGTTAAATTCAGATGAATGAATCTTCCCCGCACTGATTATCCGCTGATCAGCCAGCAGAGCGTTATTGTTGGTGGCAGATTTTATATCTTACTCCGAGGCTGATTTATAGCAGATTTCAGGAAAGATGACTGGAATGCTGAGAGAAGCTGTTCAGCAGTCAATGAGCGTCGAATCTGAGAGAAAAAGTGAAAGGAAGGAGCAGGGAAAGGGATAAGATACGATAAAACTTGTCTGCAAAATTCCCCCACATGTATTGTCCTCTGTGAATTAAGAGATTGTGATTCCAGCTGCGTACGGAGGAGTGACAGCAACTCTGATTGTTAAGCAGGCAGTGACAGCAGTGAGAAACTCCTCCTGGAGCTCTGCCAGGCCACTGCAGGGGTGTGGATGTTCCAGGCTTGACACAGCAGGGAGGGTTTGTCCCCCAGCCAGAGAAATATAGACCGAATCATCAGAGCTGGAATGAGATTTCCTCCCACTGTAAAGCAAGAGAGGTTAAACACGGTCCAAGAGAATAATTAGAATATGATTAACTGCATCTCTAAATATTTACTTACTTGAAAATATTCTTTAATATTTAATCCTCTTAGAGCGCAGTCAGACCTGCAATTTGTTTCATTTGGTAGGAACATCGGAGCAGAAGTTGCATTTTTATATTCGGTTCATTTAAATTCTGTCTTCGGGCGAATGGACCGGCGCTTTGCAAGTCATTTCTGCAGCCTTTTACCGCAGATATTTTGGCAGAGTGGTGGAGGTCAAAACAAACATGATTCCACACTCTGTAACTTTTGCAAAAATGTTTTGACTTGTGTGCAGATTTTGCTTAAGTTTACCTTCCCTGGTGTTTGCAGCAGATAAGAGTGCATGAGGCAACAGCTGAAAAAGAGGAGACAAGATGTTCTTTAGTGATTCACAACTAAAATCCACATTTTCAGGAGTTTCTTTCTGCAGTTTGTTTGAAGGCGCCTGCGGTCAGTTGAAATTGTTTTCAGCTGCCCAAACAAACCGAACTGGGAGCATAAGTTTTAAGTTCCCTGAGGTTTGAATAAAGCACAGCAAACATGGTGTGGTGCCGGTAACATGAGGACTGTCTAAATAAACTGTAAAAACAAAGTGATTATAAAACAATCATCCTCTTTGATCCCTCTGTTCTGCTCATGTGCAGCCTAACCAGATCAAATGAAATGAAAGGAACCTGGATGTCAAGTGGTTAAAACATTGATCATTTACTGTGCTTGTGACACTAGGAGCCTGAAGATGATTCTGCCATTTTGATCTCAGTCAATATATTTAAAAAGTTGCACACATAGTGAAAGGGAAGGGTGATATGAAAATTTAACAGAGATTTGTCGACCAGTAGAAACTTAGCTGGATATCTGTGGATGATGAGGCCATTCAGTATGCAGGATTGCTTTATAGAGATATGAATACTGTGGTCTGTCAGGTTTTTATTTCACCTATAAACTCTTTCCCAATTTATATTCCAGAAAAAATGAATGTATTACAGTAATGGATCCAACTGGTCCAGCATCAGGGTCCACATTTCTCCTTAGTCATTAGTTTAAGGTCCACACAGTTTAATATATTCAGCATCATACTTGTGTTTGGCCATGTCGTCAAGCTAGTTTGCTGTCTCTGTTAAGTAGCTGTAGGTTATTTACTCTCTACAGCAGGAAACAGCACTTCAAAATAAAAGCTCTGTGCAGGATATTCACTGTACTTTAAAATAAAGTGTGTTTTTTCAAACTTGACATGTTCACGAGTCACTTGTGGTCCATTCAGAATGGACCTGCAACCCACTTTTGGACTGCAACCTACCAGTTGGGAACCACTGCATTATAGTTTTGTAATATAAATGTGACACAATGTCTGATCCATGCTGTACACCCATACTTTTCACGCTCTGATTGCAGCATTGAAAAGAGGGCTATATTAAAGGGATATCTAGATTGTTTTGGTGTGTTAGAGATATCAGCTGTCAAAATGTCTGCCTTCTCTCAAAGCACCAAAAAACTACATTTGAAAAACTCAACAGCAATGTCTCTTTACAGAAATCATGACCTGGTTACTCAAGATAATCCACAGACCTTATTGTGAGCAGTTTCATGTAGGAACTATTTTCTTTCTATTGAGCTACATCCACCAACCGTATCACAGCGCAGAAGGAAGAGTGCATCTACTCATGGACAAGAGGCTCATGCTTGTCACAGCACAAGATGTAAACATAAATGGCGTCCTCCTGGCTGAGCTGTCATCTTAGCTAGCTCAATGGTGCTAGGTGAGCTAGCAGCAGTCCTTCTGCGTCGTGATACAGTTGGTGGGTGTAGTTTGGTAGAAAGAAAATAGTTCCTACATGAAACTGCTCACAACAAGGTCTGTGGATTATCTTGAGTAACCAGGTCATGATTTCCGGAAACAGACATTGCTGTTGAGTTTTGAGCACCACAAGCTGGGTACCATCCAGTTCATTATATTTGACAGAAGACAGACATCTCTACAGCTGATATCTCCAACACGCAGCAACTCACACCAAAATAATCTAAATTAATTAAAAGCACTACAGCTAAGAGGAAAAATATGTATTTTTGATTTTGGGGTGAACTGTCCCTTTAAAGCACACTCTATGGGTCGTACATTAATGCTACATACTGTTAACTGAATTATCTCTGAGTGTATTAAAGTGTTTACTTTCCTGTGATTTGTCAGAGGTGCAGTACTTGCATACTGATGGGCTGCGACTGCAGTCATCAGTAAATCATCTTCATGTGTACTGTCGGTCTGCAGTGAGGATTTTCCTCTCCATTCAGCCTTGGAGCCCCTCAGATAGCAACAGTGAAGTTTCTGTTACCTAGCAACCCTCGGTCCAGCACCTCCATTTATTTCACACTGTTGCGAGGAGGCTCTGTGGACATCAGTAGTGTTGGCTGTGCAGGGGGAATCTCCCGGGTCTATCAAATATCCGATCAAATCAATCAGATATCTTGTTGTGTGTGTGATAAGGAGGGTTTCTTTTATTGATCTCAAAGTGCTCCCTTGAATTCAGGTCAAGTTAGGGGAAGATAAATTATGAATATGGAAAGGGAAGGAATAAAAACTTAGTAAAGGGATAGATTTTTCTGTTTTCTGAGGCAAAAATCTATGATTGCGTACAGGGAATTAAAAATTTGAACATGTTGTGATTCTATAGCGACTCAGAAAGACAAATATCTTTCAGAGCAGTCTCATCTCTGATGTAACCGTTGATACTGATGACCGTTCACACGTACGAAGACCAAATGTCACTGTTCTTCTGTTAACGTCAATAACAGGATCAAGTCGCCGGTGTCCCTTCAGCCTCCTCTTCCTTCAGCGATCTGTGTGCGACTCTCAAGAGGAAAAAAATTACTCAATCAATCACTTTGACTATCCTGCCGCTAATCTCATTATTGGTATTCCTCCTGGTCGTCTCATTCAGATTCTCTTGGTCCATTAACAGCCTTGTTTAATTAGCCTCCTCCCTCCATTCACCTCTTTTCTCTCTCTGTCCTTCCTCCTTTGATTGTCGCCATATTTTCTTGTCTCAAGCTCTCTGTGCATCCATCTTTCTTCCCCTCTACTCTTCTTTGTCTCTCCTCTTCCTTCATTCATCAACATTTCTGCCACCATCTGCATATTTACTCCCCTTTAATTTCTCTAGATCTCCAGTCTTTCCCCGTCTTTCCTGCCCTATTTACACTCCACAGCTCTCACACACTTTACTAAACCCTCTCTTTGCATTTTATTCATGTTGCACTCCAGAGTGATAACATGAAAAGGGTGATGATTAACATATGATTATCTTCCTTATGCTTGTTGTTGTTGTTGTTGTTGCAGAACTTTTCCCTCGTGGCTGTTTCTTATTTTCTCATCCCCCTCTTTTTTTTTATTACACCTTTGTTCCCAGGTGGTTCGGGATCAGATCTCCCACTGTACGGTGAAGCTGCGTCAGACCACAGGGCTGATGGAGTACTGTCTGGAGGTCATCAAAGAGAACGACCCCAGTGGTTTCCTGCAGGTAAGATGCACAACAATACAAGTCTCTTTCTCCACTACAGCCCTAACTTTTTCATGCTTGTTTACTTGTGTTTGCCTATGATCCCTCGTCACTGTTTGTATACATCTGCGATTCATGATCAGTTCAGAAAAGAATGTTTTCTCTTGCAATCATGTTTTTTCTCTGAAGAAGTGAAATTATTCTTTAATTCACAAAAAAGGGAAAGATTTGGGAAAAGTCAGGAAATTTTAGATAATGTTGTAGTACCCCACGGCTCCGTTCTCAGTCCTCTTTTGTTCAACATCAATACGAGCTCCGATTATAGAAAACAAACTATTGTGCTATAACTATGCAGACGACACACAGATTTATATAACAGCATCACCAGGTGGCTGTGGTCTCATACAAACACTGTAAGTAAGTGCATTCAACAAATTAATGATTGGATGTGCCAAAGTGTTCTTTGGCAGCATTTTTGGCAGAACATCGCTATCAGCCAATATTCTCCTTGTTGACTGTCATCAACTTAAGATGACATGCATCGATGGCAGTGACCGTTTTTCTGTTGTGTCACATTAATATTGCAACAAGAAACATGTTTGTGAAGAAAAGAGATCTTCTTCAGGAGACATTCAGGACAAAAAGACACAGTAAACCCACTACTGACATGTCAGGGGACGCCTCCTATTGTTTCCCTGATAACGCTACAACAAATCCATGTTGAAATTGGCAGTAGGAGAGCTAGTTAACATTAGCTGTTAGCTGTTAGCAGCTGAAATTAACAGCTCATGGAGGTTGCATTGGGTTACATGATGATACATTCAAGCTCTAGTCAGTAAAAATAAGTATTGAGTGAATGTAAATTACAACATTGTCTTGATATGTTCAAATGTAATCTTGCAAAATGTAGTTTTTGGTGAGAAACTTGAATAAATATAGTCATTTGAAGGAGAAATTTGTTGATGTTTTCACAGGATTATAAAATAGATGTTATCGAGAGAATAATAATAAATTATATGTAATTAAAACGACTTTTGAAGCAGTAAAAAAAAGATGTTTTTCATGTGCTGAATGACTTTAAAACAGTTCAGGTTTTTTTTTTCATAATGAAGATTTCTTTGTTTCCCCTGCACCAAAAGGGGAATGAAAAACAACAAAAAACAGCAGCAAAAAAAACCCCATGCGTTTCAGCTATCAGACAAATTGCTATTTTAAATCTCAGTGTTGGCCCAGAATGGGTGCATCCATATTCTCTAGTTAAACAAAAAATGTAAAATTGAAATTACTGATTTGGATTATTATTTATTATTTTGGACCAAAATAACAAAAGTCTCAAAAGTGCTCAGCTTCAGTCAGTAACATTAAAGACCACAAATCAGAGGTCTTGATGGAGTCACCGACCTATATTTAGTAAAACCTCTCCATGCATTTATCTTTAACAGGCTTGACCACTGACTTTGTCTAAAAAGTTGACAGATGGCTGATTCAGAGTCCTCACTTAAACTGGGAGAGCCTTTAACATTCTTTTGTTTATTATCTTTGTCATTTGTTCTACTGGCTTTAAAAGTACTGAAAATTTTAGAGCCAAAACACATTTCTGATCTGCTGTTCCATTACAAACCATCCAGACCTCTTAGATGCTCCGGGGCCAACACAGAGATGCGGCAAACTTCCAGAAAACTTGATGTAGAGTTAATGTAAAGTGGTGGTGATCTGTTTTGAATTTTGTGTTTTTAAAGCTGCAATTTTCAAACGTTTTGTTTCTTGAAGTGGTGAGTTTAGTGACATTGGTAGAAAACATGCTTTAAAAAGAGCAATTCAAAATCTGTAAATAACGAGCTGCAAATATGACTCAGACCAAATATATTTTTAGATAAAGCTGACTTTAGTTCAAAGTAAAAATAATAGATGCAGTAAAGTTACAGTTTGTTTTTTGCCTGGAGAAGTTTTTACTGGCTTCGCTGAGCAATTTCAGCCTGTTAAAATCAAACTTATTTGACATCTATGATTTAAGTTCAACAGTTTTATGGCTGAAAAACATCAGTGTGGTGTTTTTGCAACTGAATCGGTTGAGATGACCAGCAAACACAGCGTCACAGTATAGTAATGTATGAGCTTGATATTGGCCTGTGTGGAGGGACCGTCTTAAATGAATGAACTGAAACTCAACATTAGAATTAAAATACAAAATGTAGTGTAGTTTTTTTCTAGTCCCCAGTCCAGTAATGATGAGTGACACAACTGTGCATTAATTTGTTGCCCTCAGATCTCCGATGCTTTAATCCGGAGGGTCCTCATGACAGAGGGACAGTGGGGGAAGGGAACCCTCACCCCCAGGATGACCAGCGACTTCGACCTCACTCTGGACAGCGGACCCCTCCTGCAGACCATCCACCAGCTGGACTTTGTCCAGATGAAAGGTAAGAAGAGAGGAGATAATGGGCACAAACACCTGAGGGGTTTTCCAAGAGTGTTTTCAGGATCATACTTATATGAACTTGTATTCAGCTAGAAACCAATGTATATGGGTGTTTAGTGGTGTTGTTGATGGATTCAAGTCCAAGTCTTGACACTTCAGTGCAAAATATTTTAATTCTGCATATTGAATTCAGTTATGTATCACAACTGCCCTCTACTGGTTGAAACCTGGCTATTGCAATGGAATTTTCCCATTGGCTGATCTGGTGGCAGGTAACATAATGGGTGGCAGCTTTCGTCAGATAAAATGCCTTGAGCTAGAAAGCTGCTCTTGATTGGTCAGAATTTCCATGTGGGAAAAATCCAGGAAGTAAACCAAATGTTGAAGAAGAGTATACTTGCAAGACAAATGTGACACTTTCTAATGTCACAATGGAGGGACAACTACGCAGGTTGATTTTAGCTGAGACCACCTCTTCAAGAAGGTCTCGGGCCGGTTGTTTTGGTGTGCACCTGAGTGTGATTGCTTTGTTCATACCTGCCCAAATGAACCACACTTAGGGGGCAAACGAACTGGAGTTCACAGGGCAGGTGTGAAAGCACCCTTTGCTCACAGAGATTACTCATACATAAACATTTACTTTATTATTTGAAAATTTAAGCCACGTTTAACATGTATATCCTTCATTGTAACTCTATATATGAGACAAGGAATACAGTAAAGCATGAAAGGTCCCTTTTAAACTCAAAAAGGCAAGTTCAAGCCCTCATGCGAGCTCATGTCTTCTCTGCTGAAGATGATAAGTCCCTACCAGCCATTCAAAAAGCTGTTCTGTACACAGATTTCTGTCATGAAAAATCACTATCATGTACTGGCAGTGTTTGCAGCATTGAATCCTGAGTTTATCAAAACTCATAATAATTTTACCTAGGCAAAAAATATAAATGAAAACCTAATTATACTGTGATGTTTCTGTTTGCTGTGTTTTTCTAAAATGTATTATTGACACTAATGAGTTTGTTTTTTTGGAAGAGAGTGCCCTCTTTTTCTGTGACACATTCCCTTGTGTTTGCAATCGCAATTTAGAGACAGCTTGTTCTAGCATATGACCTCTTTATTTTTTAAAAACACAAATTTTTTTACAACTGAATGAGTTATTTGAGTCAGAGAAGTAGCTGGATGTGGGCTCAGACATTAGTGTGTGCTTCAAACAGTATGATATCTCTGACACACTGCAGGTGTTTGCTAAAATATTTGGTAAATCACTCAGAAAGTGGAGAAAGTTTGGTGTGTTTATATTCATGATTCGGCAGCCTTTGATTAGTGTGTTATGGATTCATATATTCATTATAGAATTTATAAATGATAAATATTGAACAGGTCTTCAGGCACTGCAGAGTCATATTCAGTGTGTTTTCGTGCACGTGCGGCCGACCTTTCATATCTCAGTGGGCTGTAATCTGGCCTGGTTTCTCCCCTCCTCAGTCCCAGCTGCTCCCATACTCCAGCTGGAGGAATGCTGCACTCAGAACAACAGCGCCACATTGTCATGGAAACAGCCACCGCTCTCCACCATCGCCGTGGACGGATACATCCTGGAGCTGGACGATGGAAACATGGGGCCGTTCAGGGTAGGTACCCCCCCTGCAGGTAGTCTTTCTTTCTCTGCCCACTAAGATTTATCTGACGACTTCAACAGAAGACAAACATTAGTTTTACTCATAAAGACCCAACAGGGGAATCTCTGTTGGATTTACATTTAGATCACAAGACACAAAGTGAAAAACAGGACCAGTTAGAGTAATAATTCACCTTTACAGAACACCACCCGCTTCTCTCTCAACAAAGACTCCTTCATTTGGTGCCAGGGAGGACAGCAGCTCAGCCAGAGGGGATGTGAAAGCAACGCTTTGTTGCTGAAATCCCTCGATTGCTTTCTCGTACTGCACACACACTGAGTGATATGAGCGCAGGTCATGTGACACACTGTAGCGTGGCGTTGAATGACACAATGTCAGGAGAAAAGGTCTGTAATGCAGCTGACAGCTGGGATCATCCCACAGGAAGTGTGATCTGGGATCAAAGCATTATTCATACCCTCACAGAGGTTCACCATGTAATCCATCTAGCTAAGACCCTCCACTGCTACCTATACATTGAGGCTGCTGCTTTGTTATAATGGCAACTTAAACCTACTATACAATACAGTCAGGACAATGGAGGAGAATATCAGTGTCTGACCTCTTAACTCGTAAAGAGTTCCACCATATAGTACGGTAGGCCTGTTGACTCTTATAACAATCAGTCTTTTCATTTTCTTACAGGTTAACTCAAGTATTTTCCAACCTGGACTCTATTTTTCTATGTTTTTGTGTCTGAGTGACTAATGGGATCAACAGCTTTTGAAACTGGTCCAGTGAAAAGCGAGAGCTCGGATAAACAGGCTGCAATTTAACCTGTCAACATCAATGTACATCTACTAAAAGTGTTATTTTTGCCACTGACAGGCTCAGGTTATTATTATAATTGTCTGTCAACATTATGGAAAGGATCCCGACAGAGACAGACTTTTCTGTGAAAGGGTGGGTTCCTTTTTGTTTATCCAGAAACAGCCCTGAAATCGCCATCACCAAACCCACCAGACTCCATTTAAATAAACAATCATTTTATCGTTGTAAAACACACTTTATTTAGAATCTGCAGTAACAAAATAAAACTCATCCAAACCGTCTTGGTTCGTCTTCCTCTGTTCAAACAATCACCAACTCTGGTTTGGTTGAAATAGACCCTTAATTCATCCGGTTAAATAGGAAAATATGCTGGCTCTGTATATGCTAAAATAGTGGTGGCTTTGGTGACAGCAATATCCAGGCTGTTTCTGGTTAAACAAAAAGGATCTTACTCTAAAACAAAAAACGTAAATTGACAGTGCGGACATGCCCTGAATGGTTACATTGCAGCCTGTTTTGTTGCTGCAAGGTGCAGCTCTCTCACTCAATGCTGTATACTAATAATTTCCAAAAAATGTTTTTCCCATTAATCACTTTGACACAATAACAATAGTCTAAAATAGTCTCCAGTTTGAAAAATACCAAAGGTACAATTTAAAGCGATGTAAACTTTCGGATGAAGCTCCCTTTTAGATATTTTTTATTGTTGCCAACCTGCTTTGTGAGTAGGAAATTAGTCCTGTTGTTATTTTTCGAGAAAATGTCATAATATTTAACAAACACTTAAAGTAGAGATCACAGAGAAAAAGAAGAAACAAGACTTTTCTCATATTGTCAGAAACTAGTTTACTCTTTTTTATGTGCTGTGTCTGTTGTTTTGAGAAACATTTCTTCATGCTATGACAGTAAATGAAGTGCTTAAAGTGCTGTTTCACATTTCAAACTCTGGAGCAAAATTTAAATCATAAAAAGACAACATCATTGCATTAGTGGGATCTTATCTAACCCAAAATATCCATCATCAGGATCAGGATTAATTGTTATTTAATCGATGAGCAAGTGTGTGTTTGTGCATGTGTAACATTTATATGCTGCTTCATGGATTGCTCCAAGGCAAGGCAAGGCAAGGCAAGGCAATTTTATTTATATAGCACCATTCATACACAAGGCAATTCAATGTGCTTTACAAGAGAAATACATTAAAAACAATAGATCATTAAAAACAAGAGCTAAAAGCAAGAAAATAAATAGTTAAAAACAGTGCAGAAAATGCATTTAAAAAGCAAACATAAAGCAAAAGCAACAGCAGACAAATATAAAAACAATAGCTACAGATTATCCTAACAATAAGTTACATATCTAGTTCACTGGTAAGCTGCAGTAAATAGTAATGTTTTAAGCCCTGATTTAAATGAGTTGACAGTTTCAGCCGACCTCAGATATCCTGGAAGTTTGTTCCACAGGCAGGGAGCATAGAAACTAAACGCTGCTTCACCTTGTTTGGTTTTGATCCTGGAAACAACCTGTTCCAGATGATCTGAGGGGTCTGGATGCTTCATAACGTACAAGTATATCAGAGACGTATTTAGGCCCAAGACTATTTAGTGCTTTATAGACAAGTAACAAAGTCTATCCTTTGACACACAGGAAGCCAGTGCAGTGATTTAAGCACTGGTGTAATGTGCTCCACTCTCTTGGTGTTGGTGAGGACTCTGGCAGCAGCGTTCTGGACGAACTGCAGTTGTCTGATTGATTTTTTACTCAGGCCTGTGAAGACACCGTTACAATAGTCCAACCTGCCGAAAATGAAAGCATGAACAAGTTTTTCTGTATCTTGTTTAGACAGAAATTCTTTTATTCTTGCTATGTTTTTAAGGTGGTAGTAGGCTAATTTAGTAATTGTCTTAATGTGACTATTGAAATTTAGGTCTGAGTCCAGAACTACACCAAGATTTCTGGCTTGATCTGTAGGTGTAGTAAGATTAAAATATTGACTGACTATTGATCTTTGTTCTTTGGGGCCAAAAACAACTATCTCAGTTTTGTCTGTGTTTAGTTGTAGAAAATTCTGGCACATCCATGTATTGATTTCGTCAATGCACTTATTTAGCAGATGTAGGGGACTGTAGTCATCTGGTGACACTGTTATGTAAAGTTGTGTGTCATCTGCATAAGTATGGTAGGAGATGTTATGATATTCCATAATCTGAGCAAGAGGGAGCATATAGATGTTGAACAGAAGAGGCCCAAGAATGGACCCTTGAGGAACTCCACATGTAATTTTTGTTCGCACAGATTCATAATTGCCAAGTGACACAAAGAAATCCCTGTCTTGTAAATAAGATTTAAACCAATTTAGCACGGTGCCAGAAAGTCCCACAAACTTTTCTAGTCTGTCGAGCAGTATCTTATGGTCGACTGTGTCAAATGCAGCACTGAGGTCCAGTAATACCAGAACCAACAAAGTTTCATTGTATAACACACAATGACAGTACAGGATCTAACTATCTTATAGTGCAATATAATAATAACTTATTCTAGGCTGTATCAGCCCGACTGGATTTCCATCATACTTTAACTCTTTTGCCGGTATGATTGTGGATGATGGTATTAAATTTCATTATATGTGGTATTTAAAAGGTCGTACAAAGTCAACTGCGTAAAAAATTCATCACAGTACAAGCCACATATCAAACTAGAAAAGCACTCGGAGAGCGCAGACCTCTGCCAAGCAGCTTGGATTTCCCGCCATTTTATTATTTTATCCACTTTGCTTCAACTGAACACCACTCAAATTTTATCATCTGTTCCTTGTCCCATTATCAACCTTTCCTGAAAATTTCATCAAAATCCGTTCAGAACTTTTTGAGTTATTTTGCAGACAAACANCATCTGTTCCTTGTCCCATTATCAACCTTTCCTGAAAATTTCATCAAAATCCGTTCAGAACTTTTTGAGTTATTTTGCAGACAAACAAACAGACAAACAGACCAACACCGGTGAAAACATAACCTCCTTGGCGGAGGTAATGATGGCATTCCTTAAAACCACTAAAAAACATTCTTCAATTATATGTTGCCACAATGCAGTTAGCCTCTCAATAAAGAGACTAATAAGTTAAAACAGTCTTTAAACCATTTAAAGATTCAAAGGAGCCATGAATCACACCTAAATCCTAATTTACCCCCCATATTTCAATGTCAGCCTTCTCTCCGACTGTTGCCACCCTCTTATGACTCCTTAAAAGCACAACATGTCCATCAGCTTCCTCTAAACAGCTGCTGCAGCATAATTAAAGTGGTTTGATTTGGTGTGAATGTTTTATTTGCACACAGTAAAGATCCTTCCACTCAAAGACCTCAAAACACAAGATAATAATCTAAATATTGGACTTTTTATGACTCATGGTGTACACAGTTTGCTCCTTAATCTGTTTGTGTAACTCTCTTATTGACTTTTACACATTTTTAGGACGTAAACAGACAACGGCGTCAACTCTGGTACTTTGTGAGGAGGCTGAAACTCCTCTAGACTCAGAGCACCAGCTAAACACTCTCCTTGTGTAATATGAATGCTGCAGCAGCTGTGTGTAGAGGCATCTTGCGTTTTTTAATTTACGTTTGCGTTTTCTTAATTACAACTGTTGCATAAGATGGTGATCATTTTCACCCAATCTGCCGACAGATTCACCAACTGCATTCGCTAACTGCTAATTGGTGGGCAGGTGGTGCCAAATTGTGCTGCAGCCTGGAGACATTTTAGTCTGAAATATACAGCAGAAATGTATGTAGACCATCTCAAAGCACATTTAGTTAAGCCGTTGGGGGAGGAGGGATATCTAGGCACAGGTTCAATACATAGCTGGTTGAAAATCAATGAAATATCCCTTTAATTGTATAAATTAGCCTAGCGACTAGCGAACTTCTTTCTTCTCGTATAAAGCCAGGGACAACAGCAACATTTAACAAATGTAACGTTACAAAATTCGGCTCCATTTCAACTCACAAGGTTCACTGACAAAACAACTGTCTTATACTAAACACATTTTCCAAACAAATATAACATGCTAAGGTTACTAGCACAAGCCTATGGCATTTTACATTGTATAAATTAGCGTAGCTCATATGAAGCCAGGATAAATCACACACAAAATGCTATTTTTGTGGAGGCTTTATTGTCTCCACAATTTATCGCTTTCTTATGTATGAAATTAAGTAAATAAAAGTTTAGTTTCAGACTTGGATTATACTGCATGAGTTGTGTGAGAGTAAACAGATGTTGTGATATAGTTTTGCCTTGTTAAATGCTGACCCCTATGACTTTAATTCATCAAGATTTTTCTTTCACAAAATTGTTTAGAAAAACTTTTCTAAACAATTTAATGTAACACTGGGTGAGTTATTGATTTTCAAATGGTCTTTTGGGGGTTGAAGTGTACCTTTAAGTTTAGTGTTTCACTCAAGTGTTTGTGTGTTTTAGATATCAAAGTGTTGTTTTAGTCTTTAACTTGAACTCCGATCATTTTAAATCATACCTGTTTCTGCTGCTGCACTTTGCCAAACAATTATTTACATTCCGAATTGCGAAGGAAGTTTTCTTTTTCTTCTCTGACTCATTGAGCCTCGCCAACGCAGCTCCACACTGAGCTTGGCGAGTTGTGTGTCCCCATGTCTATTTATACACCCGTGTGGGCTGGCTTGCCCACGCTTAGTTGTACAAACTCACACTCTCGCTTATTACATTCACCGCCAAAAAATCCAAATAGGACGCTCCTTCAAAGGCAGAGCCGTCCGTGTCAAAAAGGAATCAGGACTGTCTGTGTCATAATTACGCATTTGATGTAATTGCCAGTTTGACAGGAAGCATTTGTGTGTCTTTACAGGAAGTGTACGTGGGGACGGAGACCATCTGCACTGTGGATGGGCTCCACTTCAACAGCACATACAAGTCCAGAGTGAAGGCCTTCAATGCCAGCGGAGTGGGCCAGTACAGCAAGACACTGATCATGCAGACCTCTGAAAGTACGTGCAGCATCATCATCATCATCCTCTCCTCTTCCTCCTCCTACTAACATGACTGTATATCTTTAAGATAAAAATACACTCTCTAACAGAATTCAGTCGTCTGATCTTGGATCGTTCAGTCAGTGTTTGGAGGGAAGTTGTCATTTTCTACAAAGTTAAAATCCAGAAAGAGCTTAAGACTCAAGTCTGTTTTTGCCAAAGGAAGAGGCTTATTAGTTATTAGTGGTATCAACTCAACTGCCTTCATAGATTTGTTATTAATTAAGCAAATTTATGGACCATATTTATCTACACTTTTCAGAGCAGTTGGTCTGAGGTAGAGCGAGGCTGATTTATCTGCAGATAAGTGCCAAGAAATGCCAAAACAGTGTCATTTCAAGCTTTGAGCTTTATTTATTTAACTTTTATTTAACCAGGTCGTCCCATTGAGGTTGAAAATCTCTTTTACAAGAGAGACCTGGCCGAGGCAGCAGCTAATCCAATTAGCAATACAAATGGCTAAGTTTCACTTGTATTCTTTCGTCGGACCAAACTGAGAGCAGACAGGTCTCTTATTTACTCCATCCACGAGTGTCTTTATTATCCGTAAGCTTTCTTGCTAGAAGCTTATCTTGCTACCAGATAATGGCTGCTACCTCACTGGTTTGGAACAGCTGACGGAATTGTTGTATGTGCACTGAAAACACAGTCGTTGAGTCAGTCACAGTGTGTTCCTGACCACCTCTGGGGGCAGTTTGGCCGATCACAGTCTGTCCTCAGTTCATTTTGGGAACATTTCCACCTGTACCTTCATGTGGTCAAACACTATGGGATTTCAATCCAATCACCTAAAATGCATTTTAATGCAGGGTGTAAAGAGGATCATAGGTCCCATATACATCCTGCATTACAATGCATTTTAGGTGATTGCAATCAGATAGTGCTTGACCACATGAAAGTATAAATGTTAATGCACCCAAAACACATTGTGGACGGATTGTGATCCAATCAACCCGACCACCTCTGGACGTTGTCAGGGATGCGCACAAGTGTAAATGCAACTGTATTTTAAATCCATGTACAAAAGCTACATGTGTGGAGAAATGTTGAAGGTCTCAGGGAGACTGTTCCAGACCAGTGAGGTTACCTCACCTGTTGCCAAAACTGTGAGGTACACAGTGGTGCCTCTCTCATCTGATGCAAACACTACTGCCTCATCTGTAATGTATTCTTCCTGTCAGTCACTATCTTTACAGTCAGGCAGGCCTGTTTCATCCTTGTCAACCCCGCTGTTTCCTTATAAATCTTTCTGACTGGCTCAGACATATGTAACACAAGAACAACACACACAACAAGAAAACTATGGACTAGGAAATATTTGTTTTATTTTTACACTAATATTGTCTCTGAAAGTGCAGAAAATAATATGCTGTGCACCCTATATGAAATTGTAACTTAAGAAAACAACATTTTTTAAAAGTTCTTATAATAGTTGTTGACAGGCGCAGGCGGGACTTGTTTTGATCTCAGTGTGGACACTGGAGACACATATTAATACCAGATATAAATGTAATCAGGTCATACCTAGATACAAGCTGGATATGAGAAACATTTTAATGCAAAGAGGGTCATAGTGTCCAAAAAGACCAGATCAGGAAATAAGAAGGTGTACGCAAGTGAAGATGAAGTTATTTTGGTGCATTAACACCTCTACTTTCATGTGGACAAACACTATGGGATTGCAGTTCAATCACCTAAAATGCATTTTAATGCAAGATGTATATGGGACCTATGATCTTCTTTACACTCTGTATTAAAATGCATTTTGGGTGATTGGATTGCCATCCCATAGTGTTTGACCACATGAAATGCACCCAAAACGCACTGAGGACAGATTGTGATCAGCCAAACTGCCCCTAGAGGTGGTCAGAAACACACTGTGACCACACTGAACACAAGTATGAAAACAGTATTTTTTCTATTCACGTACAGTACAGGCCAAAAGTTTGGACACACCTTCTCATTAGATGCGTTTTCTTTATTTTCATGACTATTTACATTGTAGATTCTCACTGAAGGCATCAAAACTATGAATGAAGACGTGGAGTTATGTACTTAACAAAAAAAGGTGAAATAACTGAAAACATGTTTTATATTCTAGTTTCTTCAAAATAGCCACCCTTTGCTCTGATTACTGCTTTGCACACTCTTGGCATTCTCTCCATGAGCTTCAAGAGGTAGTCACCTGAAATGGTTTCCACTTCACAGGTGTGCCTTATCAGGGTTAATTAGTGGAATTTCTTGCTTTATCAATGGGGTTGGGACCATCAGTTGTGTTGTGCAGAAGTCAGGTTAATACACAGCCGACAGCCCTATTGGACAACTGTTAAAATTCATATTATGGCAAGAACCAATCAGCTAACTAAAGAAAAACGAGTGGCCATCATTACTTTAAGAAATGAAGGTCAGTCAGTCCGGAAAATTGCAAAAACTTTAAATGTGTCCCCAAGTGGAGTCGCAAAAACCATCAAGCGCTACAACGAAACTGGCACACATGAGGACCGACCCAGGAAAGGAAGACCAAGAGTCACCTCTGCTTCTGAGGATAAGTTCATCCGAGTCACCAGCCTCAGAAATCGCAAGTTAACAGCAGCTCAGATCAGAGACCAGATGAATGCCACACAGAGTTCTAGCAGCAGACCCATCTCTAGAACAACTGTTAAGAGGAGACTGCGCCAATCAGGCCTTCATGGTCAAATAGCTGCTAGGAAACCACTGCTAAGGAGAGGCAACAAGCAGAAGAGATTTGTTTGGGCCAAGAAACACAAGGAATGGACATTAGACCAGTGGAAATCTGTGCTTTGGTCTGATGAGTCCAAATTTGAGATCTTTGGTTCCAACCGCCGTGTCTTTGTGAGACGCAGAAAAGGTGAACGGATGGATTCCACATGCCTGGTTCCCACTGTGAAGCATGGAGGAGGAGGTGTGATGGTGTGGGGGTGTTTTGCTGGTGACACTGTTGGGGATTTATTCAAAATTGAAGGCACACTGAACCAGCATGGCTACCACAGCATCCTGCAGCGACATGCCATCCCATCCGGTTTGCGTTTAGTTGGACGATCATTTATTTTTCAACAGGACAATGACCCCAAACACACCTCCAGGCTGTGTAAGGGCTATTTGACCAAGAAGGAGAGTGATGGAGTGCTGCGGCAGATGACCTGGCCTCCACAGTCACCGGACCTGAACCCAATCGAGATGGTTTGGGGTGAGCTGGACCGCAGAGTGAAGGCAAAGGGGCCAACAAGTGCTAAACACCTCTGGGAACTCCTTCAAGACTGTTGGAAAACCATTTCAGGTGACTACCTCTTGAAGCTCATGGAGAGAATGCCAAGAGTGTGCAAAGCAGTAATCATAGCAAAGGGTGGCTATTTTGAAGAAACTAGAATATAAAACATGTTTTCAGTTATTTCACCTTTTTTTGTTAAGTACATAACTCCACATGTATTCATTCATAGTTTTGATGCCTTCAGTGAGAATCTACAATGTAAATAGTCATGAAAATAAAGAAAACGCATTGAATGAGAAGGTGTGTCCAAACTTTTGGCCTGTACTGTATAACAACTTTGTATGTAACCATGCGCGGCTGTTGCAAACCAGCAAGGTAGCAACCGTTATGCGGTAGTAAGCTACTAGCAAGAAAGCAGCAGCAGAGCTTATAGATATTCAAGACACTTGTGGATGGAGTAAAAAAGAGACCTGTCTGCTCTCGCTTCTGTCCGATGAAAGTATCCAGGTGAAACTTAGCAGTTCATATTGAAACCAAGCCATTTATGAAACAAATGGTGGAAAACAGCCACAACAGCTCGGTTGTTTGAGCTGGACAGTGCGATTGGATCTCAATGTGGACACTGGAGACACATATTAATATCAGGTGTAAATGTAATCAGGTTAAATCATATCTAGATACAATCTGGATATGAGACCGTATATTCAAGTGAGGACACACAGTGTAAAAAAACAAAATATAAAGCTATAAGATGAAGAAAAAGCCACTGTGCACTGATTTGGCTTCTCTGCAGCTGTTCCAAAGTGAAGCAGAAGGATGTGATTAAATATACATCTCCACTGCCAACACTGACATCAGTTTGTCACAGTTATCTCTGCGTGTTTCGTATTTTTAAGCACTAATGCTTCTCCAAATACCTGCCACATGTTTGTTACTGCGTCTCTGTGTTTCCCAGGTGTTGTAACACTTTTTTTCTCTCTTTGGTGTCGTTATCGTGCCCAAATATTTTAGCTTGACACACTTTTTTTTGCATGACTAGATTGATATCGTATTGGATTTATGACTGACCGTGACTTTGTGCTCTAGCAAACAGCTGGCAGGTATTTTATCATCAGTCTATTAACAGTGATAATATAGTGTGGTAGTTGTTGTCACATCATGAGATCACAGACCGGAGTCTTGGCTCAGTTTCCTTCTTCTTTTTGGGAGTGAAGCGTTCATTAACTGCAAATCAATTTTGACTGAACTCACAGAGATCTTAAGAATAATAAATTGTTGCTGCCAGACTAAAGCCTTGCATCTTCTGAAAGACAACTTCTTAGAAATTTAGGGGGGAAGAGAACTTATTTAACCACTTCCTCTGCATTTTTTTTTCTCATTTCAGATTGAAAACCGTGCATTTTGACTTTTTAATTATGGGTTTCAAAGGGATTTCAAAGAGCCGAGGGCCATCAAACTTCCTCATCCTCTTTTATCTTTCATGTAACGCCAAAATAATAACAGTAAAAGCCTCCAAAATATCACTCGCAAGGTTTTAACTCAAAAGCAGCAGCAGGATGTGGATTCTGTGAGAAGGTGTGTTTGAGCTTTTAAACCAGGTACATCCAGTAGCAGCTGCAATAATCCACCCATGTGCTTGCTTTCCCATTAGTTAAATGCTGCTCTGCACACAGGGAAGCTTGTCATCCATCAGTGGACCCGAAAGACCCCAACAGCCTCCCTATACCTGACAGACAGAGCGCTCAGCAGCTGTGACAAAGTGCACTAACCACTGAGTGTTTTTGCAGAGATCTGACATCCTGCGCCCGGACCAGCTTTGATTTTGTCAGTTTTATTTCCCACATGAAAAAAAGCAACTATCAGAACTTTCTCTTTGCTTTCAGCTTGTTCTTTTATGTTTCTCCTAATCTGGTTCTAGGAACTCTTTGCTTTTGTTTTTGGGATCTCCTCTGTGGTGTTTGAACCAGCTTCCCTGATCAAACTTGCTTTCTACCCTCTCCTCCACCCCTCCCGACCCCTCTACACTCTCCGCTTCACTGCTTCGCAACACTCTCCCCTCTTTCCTTTCTCCCCTTTTTCCTTTCTTCCTCTCCTCCTTCCCTTTCATTCCACATTTCAGCTGGACTCCCTCCATGTGATATTCAGTCTATAGGCACAGGTATGGACGGCTCTCATTGCTGACCACTCTAATCCCGCTCGTTGCCATTTGTCATCAGTGCAGTGCTTCACTCTCAAACCAGCAGGCGGGCAGTTTGCTGCTCTGTGGGCTGCACTTATTAAACGTTCGATACAGTCTTCTAATAAACGTCTTTGTTTTATTTCCTTTGGGAAATAAAGCCATGTAATGAAACTTTAGTGCACATAGTGACACCTGTGAAAGATGGTGGACAAGCACGTCCAGTGGAGCCCATATAAAGCACAAACACCCATCTGTTAAACTCCCATAGTTCTCTCTGTAGAGTATAAATCTATGTTAATATACTTTCAACCCTGAGTCAAATAGTTTGCAAAGTTGTTAGCGTTTGATTTAGCCTGCTTGGAGAGTAACGTGTAGCAAGAGCTCACAGAGAGTTATAGGGTCAGCTCACCCGAATTACAAAAACAAAACAATCCTTATGATACCAGTCCATGCTAAGGTTTTAAATCTACATCAGTTACTCACCCTATGTTACGTTGAATCCTTTGTTTTTCTTGCATGCCTCCATCGAAAATACTTGATGAGTTTAAGTCACATCTAACAACAGCAAAACTACATAAAAACATCAGTTTAGAAACTCACACAACTTGTGCAGCATGATCCAAGTCTCATTTATCCAGTCATATGCTCAGTACTTCCCAAACAGACAGTCCTTACCGATGGGGAACTGAACTAAAACTGAAACTCATCTATGCTCTCTTCAAAGCCAGATCCCATTGGAAAAAAACAATAATTTTACCTAACTGAACACAGGAGCTGCTCGTCTACTGCTGCCTCAATATAAGTTAGTTTCTTTGTGTTATTGTGTGACTTCAGTGAGTCCAAACTGACCCGTTAAAACACAGAAGTAGCACAATCACACAAACAAACTAACTGATCGAGGCAGCAGTAGACCAGCAGCTCCTGTGTTCAGTTACCTAAAATTACTGTTTTTGTCAATGGAGTCTGGCTTTGAAGAGAGCATTTATCAGTTACACTTTAGATATAGTTTCCCACTGGAAAGGTGTGTATGTTTAGGAAGTACTGAGCATACGACTGGATAAATGAGACCTGAATTATACTGCACGAGTTGTGTGAGAGTTTGTAAATGTTTTGATGCCATTTTGCTGTTGTTAAATGTAGACTCCTATGACTCAAATTCATCAAGATCTTTTAGATTCTCAGTTCACGGTGGAGGCATGTGAATAAAAACAAAGTTTTCTTCACAAATTCAAATTTTCTTCTGTTTTGTTTTGCCACTTGGGGGCAGCACAACATTGACATGTCATCCTGTAAAGTTCAGTTGGCTAACATTACCAGATAGTTACATATTGACACTTTTATCAGACACAGAACAATATTATCAGTCAGCTGGAGCCATGTTTCTGTTTACATGGTGAATGTGATCCATTATGACCGACCACTCCACTGATAAACACCAAAAGATGCAGCTTAAAGCTTCAGAAACTGTGAGTAATTTGGATTGAAGCTTTTAAAAAATTTCATTTTCATTTTGGGTGATCTGTCTCTTTATGATAATAGAGATAAATGAGAAATTACATTTAAAAAGTCCACTTAGTGTTCTTTTTATCTGATTAACAATTAATTTAGTACCTGGATGTAATTAAATCCACCCGTCTGGTGTTCCAAGCTGGTCAAAACAAGCGCCAATTATCATTTTCAGACTGTCTGACACAGGTGTGATATTATAGATATTATTAAGATTATTAGAATTAAGTTATTAGTTAAGTCATAGAGTATAATAAGAATTATAAATCATAAGTTTTTACACTGTAACTTCACTTCATCTAACCTCCAGATTCATGTCACCTTTGTAAAGTCATCATCATCGCATCAGGTCCTGCAGTCACTGACGTTACTGATGCTAAACAACAGTGTGTGTGTAACTCTTGCTGTGTGTGTGCACAGTTGCCTGGTTCACCTTTGACCCTGCCTCCGCTCACCCGGACATCATCCTCTCCAACGACAACCTGACCGTGTCGTGCAACAGCTATGACGACAGGGTGGTCATGGGTAACTCTGCTTTCTCCCGCGGCGTTCACTACTGGGAAATGACCATCGATCGCTACGACAACCACCCTGACCCGGCCTTTGGGATCGCACGGGCCGACGTGCTGAAGGATGTGATGCTGGGGAAGGACGACAAGGCCTGGGCTATGTATGTGGACAACAACCGCTCCTGGTTCATGCACAACAACTCGCACACCAACAGGTAGGGAATCAGATTCAGATGCAGGCAGGTGTTTGGAAAAGTCATTATATAGATCAGTGGTTCCCAACTGGTGGGTCACGGTCCAAAAGTGGGTCGCAGGTCCATTCTGAATGGACATTTGAAACATTTTAGACATTATGTACAGTAAGATGGGTAAAAACAGTACATTATTACTGACATGAAAAACACTTTTAGCAGTAGAAAGGCATTTTTAGTAACAATTTTAATTACTGAGTTTGTCCGGTCTATAAATTAGATGAGAGATCCATCCCTGGTTTCAGATTTCTCTCCTCTCACGTATGTCGAGGGTCAGGTTTAGCAATATTTTGAGCAAAAACAGTTCAGATAAATATATCTCAGTCAGGAGGGACTCCTGTTTATAGTGAAAAGAATATTTATTAAGAATGAAAACTGTGAAAAGTCTTTGGCGATTAGACCCCATCGAGATTATATGATTAAAGGAGGGTGATGAATCCAAAGTCGAATAGAGAACCCCCTCCAAGGGTCGAGACGCCCCAATAGCATTTTTATAAGTGACCAGGGTCACAAAAATGTTGGGAACCACTGGTGTAATCTGAAACAGTGTATTGTAAGATTTTCACGTGAATTCTTAATGTACTATCTTAATGTGAAAAGCAACAAGCAGCTAAAGCTGTGAAATAAATTTCATCAAGTAAGAAAAAACAGTGTTTGCCTCTGAAATCTTATGAAGCAGAAAGAAAGATTTACCACAAATGAACATCTGTCATGTCTCCAGTTAATTTCTCTCTGTGTGACCTCTGTGCAGGACGGACGGTGGCATCGGTAAAGGAGCTACAATAGGAGTTCTGCTGGACTTCTCACGCGGGATCCTCATCTTCCTCATCAATGATGAGCAGCAGGGTCCTGTGGCTTTTGAATCCTTAGAGGGCGTCTATTACCCCGCTCTCAGCCTCAACCGAAACGTCCAGGTACAGAATGATACTGTGGCAACGTAGCTGTGATTAATGTGGCAGTTTAAAACCTTAAAGGGACAGTTCACCCCCAAAGTAAAGTTTTTAATTTGGGGGTGAACTGTCCCTGTGATGATGTTCTCGTGCTGAGACAAATTTCTGGACCACAAAATATATTGCACATTATAAAATGATGATTACTTTATTCAAACACTACAAACTCCGAGCCATAGCATATTAGTTTCATATATTGATGAGGTGCTAATTTAGAGGTGCACTTCCACAGAGTCAGGGGACTCATGAGAGTCTCCAAGCTAAAGCTGAGACTTTCTTAGACTTTAAAAAGATTGCTCCAGAGATATAAAAGATGTCATCCAACTGACTAATACTCCTTGTGATGAGTAAACTGAACTTCACATGTAAAATTGGTGGATTGCTCCTTTAAAATGTATATGTTTGCTGCAAAATATAAGATATTGGAAAAAAATGTGTCAGCATTAAGTATTTCAGTTAGGTCTTATTGCATTATTCAGCATCTTGAAATACATCACAGCTATTATTATCAGTAATAAAAACATTTTACCTTTATTTCACATTAAGTGGTCAGGAGCAGCTTTGTCGGCTCTAAAACAGCTCCTGAGGGTCTGTTTTACAGATTCACCCTCCCCGAGCAGCGCTGCAGGCTACAACAGAGGTTTTTTCTTGTAGGTCAACAAAGTATTGTACGAGTACTGTTATTATTCATTAAAACTGCTTTCCCAAGTTTTACAAATGTGGGCTCAGAGGATTAAACCTTGAAAGAGGAAGCTTCAAAGACTCAACAACAGTTAGTAGCTTTGAATTCCTTATTGCTCTCAGCCAGTTCTCTCATTTTTAATGCCGTCTCTGGGTGATGAAAGCAAAGCGCCTCCAAGACAAAAACACTTCACTCACTGAGGGAACAGTTTAACAGCTCCACCTGCAGGCAGGAAAATAAATCGAACCTCTTTGCCTCTATGATTTATTAACCCGTATATTTGTGTGTAAATCTGTTTCTCTTCAGGTCACACTGCACACCGGTCTACCCATACCTGATTTCTACACTCCCGGGGAGGCAGATCCCAACGGCTCTGTGTGCTAAAGACTCACCACCACCCTCACCGGCTGGGGAAAACTTCTTCAGGATTTCCCAGAATTCATCCTGCCAGTCAATAACTATGATCCAATCCTCCCCTACCCCGCCTCCTCTTGTCCCCCTGACCGACTGACCCCCTGACTCTCTGTAAGAGGTCCCATCCAGCACTGAGCCATGCCTTTATCATGCCTAAACCTTGGACACTTGGACCATCTGCAGGACAAAAATGGACGTGCTTTGCGATGTGTACCTTGTATTTTGACATGATACAGATAATTGAAGAAGGTGATATACCGTTGGAAAATAATCTCAAGATGATGGACTTGGCCTGAAGGAGTAGTTTTGGAAAATACTCTTATGTGCTTTCTTGCAGAGAGTTAAATAAGAAGACACCACTATCACGTCTGTACGCTAAATAAGAAGCTACTGTTAGCAGTTGGTTAGCTTAGCTTAGCACAAAGACTGGAAATGGGGGAAAACAGTTAGCCTTGCTCATTATATTTCATTTGTTTATAATATGTACAAAGACAGAAGTGTAAAAATAACATTTTGCGGTTTGATGGGCACAAAATATATTCTCGGCAAGAAAGGCAAATAAGCATATTTCCTAAAATATTGAACTATTCCTTTAATGGAAGGAGTTTGTTTTGTAAATGAGTCGACTTAGAAAAAGTAGCCCCCCCTTCATGCATTCAACATACTCTTCATTCTTATCCTTCTTTCTTATAAAATATCTTGTACGTTGCTTTTCCTGCCATTGATCATAAACATCCTCACACATCTTACACACCAGGGGGAGCATGAGAGGTCGTCTTTTGTGTGTCTTAGTGAACGTGCGGGAGGTGGATGGGTCAGCAGCTGCAATGATCCCTGGACGAGAGCAATAGTCCAACTGTCAGCCGCGTCACTGTTGTACCCTCATCCTTGTACATGAGGCGCTTTTCTTAGTGGCTTAGCTCATGTGATCCTTCTGTATCGTCTGTAAAAATGAAAAAAAAAAAATAGTGTATAAAATGCTACTGGAAGTGAGGCCTTCATGCAGCCTTTCTCTGTGGTGCAGCTCTCAGAACAGGAGGGGTGAATTTTGGTGTAATGTATCATAAAAGCGAGCGATTCTGTGCATTCAAGTGTGTTGAAAGTGGGTTAAAGATGATGACTGTGAAGCTCTTTGAATAAGGTGCTACAGCAGCTCGCTTCATTCTGGCTTTTTTTACTGTAGGTGACTGGATCCTGGTAGTTTTGTAATATTGTTATTGAAATGATCTATTGCAAAGAGGTGTATAGCTAAATAAGTTATTGATGTTCAGAGTTTTTTCAATGAGAATTCATCATTGTTCCTTTATTTGATGTATAGTTATTACAGAAGGAAAGAAACTAAATCTTATTTGTCGCTTTAAAAATGTAGTTTGGAGTTTGCTTTCCAACTGAAGAGGCTTTTCAGTGATTGTGAGAACCAGTTTATGTCCGACTAAAGCAACAGGAAAGGTGGTGATGTACTGGGACGTTCTTGTGGCATCACATTCGGGCAACAGTCTCCTCGACAGGCAACAACTACGCCATGCTAGCCGCTGTGTGATGCTGTACTTAGCCATGCTAAATGCTAATGCTAGCATGCTGACATGCTCACAAGACAATACTAACGTTGTTTTATAACAGCTATATTTTTACCATGTCCACCATCTAGTTTAGCATGCTAGCATGCTAACATTTCCTAATGTGCAGTATAAAGAAAGTACAGCTGAGGCTGATGGGGATGTCTTCAGTTTTGGAGGTATTTTATCATTATTAAAAGTAAAACATTAAAGTGATGGTGGGGCTGGAAACAAACATTAAGTAATCCCCAAGGTTATTACAATTTAACCTCTAAGGGACATGAATGTCTGCACCAAATTACATGGTAATCCATCCAAGAGTTGTTGAGATATTTCACTCAAAACCACAAACGTAGAACTCATGATGGCACCAGAAGAAAAGTTAGGGAATCACTAAAGTCATTAGGAATTATCCTCTGGGAATACTGAATGTCAGTACAAAATTTTGTGCCAATCCAACTGGTAAATATCAAGATGGCTCACAGGATAAGTAAGACAACTTCCACCAGCTGGTGGCACCAGAGGAAAAGTCAGGGGAGCACAAAGGTCATTAGGATCCATCCTCTGAGGACAATGAATGTTCTACAAAATAATGTGCCAATCCAACTGGTAAAGTAGATTTGAGATATCTCACAAAGTAAGTTAAAACTTTGACCTGCTGGTGGCACCAGAGAAAAAGTGAGGGAATGTAGAGAAGTCTTCAGGGTTCATCCTCTGGGAACCGTGAGTGTCAGTACAACATTTTATGGCAATCCAACATACAGTTGTTGGTTTTTTTATATTTCGCCAAAACCACATATATGGACCTCATGGTGGCACTAGAGGAAAAGGTCGAGGGATCACCAAAGTCATTAGGGTTCATTCTCTGGGGACCATGAACGATTGTAAGATATTTGGTGTCAATCCAATTGGTAGATATTGAGATATCTAACAGGATAAGTGAGAACTTTGACCTGTCAGTGGTTCTAGAGGAAAAGTCAGGAATGAAGAGAAGAATGTAGGGTTCATCCTCTGAGAACCACGAGTGTTAGTATGACATTTTATGGCAATCCAACCAAAAATTGTGGAAATATTTCACCCAAACCCACTTATGGAGGAAAAGTCAGGGGATCACCAACGTCATTAGGATGTATTCTCTGGGGACCACGAACGTCTGTAAAATATTTGGTGACAAGTGCTCACAGTCTATCTCAAAGACTCACAGATATCTCAAAGTTCTCACATAAGTGAAAACCTTGACCTTTCAGGGGTGCTAGAGCAAAAGTCAAGGATTAAGAGAAGTCTGTAAGGTTCGTCCTCTGAGAACCATGAGTATCCACATAAAATTCCATGGCAGCCCACCAAACATTGTGAGATATTTCCCTCAAAACCACAAAAATGAAACTTGTGGTGGCATTAGAGGAAAGTAGGATTCATCTTCTGGGGGCCATGAACATCTGTACAAAATGTTAAAGCAATCCCTCCAGGAATTGTTGAGGTATTTCCAGCCAAGCCACTAGCATGGCAAAAAAACTAACAGGATTCAAAATGTAGAGAGGTCACTTTAAGGAAACTGTTGCCCTTCAAGTTGCCCAGAAACATTTCCCTGCGCATTGTCGCCCTGAGACATACCGTACATGTCTAGCATACATATAAGGTGCTATCCTGTGTTTGAGCTTCATGGGTGTGCCTTTTCCCCTCTTCGATACCCATAAGATTTATGAAACTTTGCTACAAACTCGAGTCATTGCTTCGGCAGAGTCAACTGTAACATCTGTGATGCCTGACTTCACCTGCTGCTACATATTTTTTCTATCGGCAAAAAGGGCAAACTCAACAACAACCATTTTTGTTATGGATATAATAACGACAGTATTGAAGGGACTGCTACAGTCAGGTGTCTTTCTTATCTTTATACATCCTTTCTTTTCTCTATTCCCCTGGGGTAACATTGATTGTAAATTATCTGGGGCTGATACATGGCTGCTAAAACGGCTGCACAAATATAATTCTCAGTATGTTACGTGCATGTGTGCTGGCAATGATAAACCAGACGACTGCAGCAATCAGCAAGCTGCACGGCCTTTGATGCGAGGCTGGATTCAAGCTTTGATTTATGCAACATTTAATTGGCAGTTTTTCAAGTTAAGCCTTTTGTGCGGGCTGTAATTATAATAATACAAAACCAGCCCATTAAGCAGAGGGTCACTGAGTGGCGAGACCTTCTTCTGACTTGAACAGAGACAGATGCAGCCATTATTGCGGACAAAAATGGCTTTAATTCAGCAAAACAGCTCATTGAAGTGATTTTCCACATGTTCAGTAGGAGATGACACACACCTCTGTCACGCTTCAACACAGATTATCTTCTCATGGAACATTTTCTGTCTTTGATTGACAACATAAATGTGTATTTCTGTACTGAACAGGCTGTGGATGTTAAAAACTGTGTGATTGTAACATTTATTATTTCTAAACCAGCCAAATACACTTAAATGATATTAAACTTAGACCCGGGGATGATTTAAAGTCATACAGCCTCCTCAAACTTTTATGAATAGTTAAAAATGTACGCACAGTCGCTGGGCGACACTGGGTGTTATATATCCAAATGTACATACATATGTGCGTGAGTGTGTGTGAGTGTGTGTTTCCTGCATTATAACCTCATTTATCTCCAAAGTGATTCTTTACGCCCTGTTTGACCCAAGGTGAATGTCTTCACTCGATATTATTATTTACAGTGATGCTGAGATATGTCTATGGAGAATTTTACGAATATGAAATGAACATTGTTCTTTTGATTTTAACACAGTATGATTATTCTGATTGTTATGATTATATGTCCGTCATTACCATATTACTGCTATTATTATGATGATCTGAAGTGTAATATGAGCCTCTGTGTTTTTTTGTATGTGTTAATATTCAATAAATAGGTGTCAACAATGTCTCATGTTGCCTGGAATGGTCTGTCTGATGTTTTTATACTGCAGCAGTGAAACAAAGAAGATTAAATTCATTTTCAAATGACACCTATCGACCACACGCAGGTAGCCTCCATTTAACTAATTATGTAGCTGTACCAGTGATGATTTGGGTGTGTCCTATTAAAGGGTGTGAGATCTGTTTTTGCAGCCACAGCAAATCTACATTCACTGGGCACTTTATTAGGTACACCTTGCTAGTACCAGGTGGGACCCCTGTTGCCCTCAGAACTGCCTTAATTCTTGGTGTCACAGATTCAACAAGGTGCTGGAAACATTCCTCAGAGATTTTGGTCCATATTGACATAATGACATCACACAGTTGCTGCAGATTTGTCAGCTGCACATCCATGATGCAAATCTCCCGTTCCACCACATCCCAAAGGTGCTCTATTGGACTGAGATCTGGTGACTGTGGAGGCCATTGGAGTACAGTGAACTCATTGTCATGTTCAAGAAACCAGTTTGAGATGATGTGAGCTTTGTGACATGGTGCGTTATCCTGCTGGAAGTAGCCATCAGAAGATGGGTACACTGTGGTCATAAAGGGATGGACACGGTCAGCAACAATACTCAGGTAGGCTGTGGTGTTTAAACCATGCTCAGTTGGTACTAAGGGGCCCAAAGTGTGCCAAGAAAATATCCCCCACACCATTACACCACCAGCAGCCTGAACTGTTGACACAAGGCAGGATGGATCACGCAGGTTTAAACAATGTGTCATGTGACTGCAGTTGGTTCAGATCCAGGTCGGAACACATTCTCACCACAAATGAACCGCACCAGAGTTTGTTTGTAACCAGACTGAGACCACCTCTTCAAGAAGGTCTCGGTCCAGTTGTTTTGGTGCGCACCTGAGTGTGATTGCTGTGTTCACACCTGCCCAACCCTTGGGGGCAAATGAACTTGAGTTTGATTGAACCGAACCAAACAGGGCAGGTGTGAAAGCACCCGTGATATTGCCTCCACAACAAAGCTGTAAAACCATGTTCGGCGTAATGACGTTCTGCAGTCTCGTTTAGCCATTTGTTAGCAACTGCCCTTTTCAAGACAAAAAAAGGCTTCAAAATTATGAGTGGGGTTTATACTGACATATTTTATGTTGTAGAACTAAATGTGAAAGCCTCTCAAACTTGTGTTAACCACAGACTTTATTTCAGGCATTTAACAGAACATCCATTCAGAAAACCCATTGACTTTGAGATGAGGGAACCGTGAGTGGTGAAATCCTGTCTCATTTCCTGGTCTTAGGACTTCCTGAGGCTCTATGCGGGTTAAATCTGCTTCTGGCACCTTTCCAGATTTTTTTCTTACTATCATGTGAAAAAACCACGTCAATCAAAATATTTGTATAAGTATGCTTTAAAAACATGCCAAACATGATGTTAAACATACAACATGAACACTTCTGTTTCTCTTTGCTTCATCTGACAGTGAGAGAAACAAACAGGAGAGGCAGGGCTGAGAGAAAAATACGTGCAGAAAAGCTCATCCTTGATGGTACACACTGTACTGGGCTTCTGTTCAACCCCCAACATGAACACTTCTTCTTTTAATGAGCACTCAATCTAAAAATTAGGTAAAATATGAATAAGTCCACAAACAAACAGTCATTTTATTCTCAGAATAATATTTTTTTCTTTTGTTTTTCATACATTTATCATCAGTTTGAATGAACTTAAGATAAAAAAGTACTTGTGAGTGCAAATAAAAAAAATTTACATCAACTTAACCTCCACAAAACTTTCACTCCTCCTTATCTGTACTCCTTTTCCTGGTGCTCAGCTCTGCAGCCCAGCAGGGGCCGGCCAGGGGAAACACCCTCCCCCTGCTCTCACCAATAAAAAGCAGCAGAAGGAGGGGTCTGCTGCATGAAAACCTGCCACCATTTTACCTTTCAACTTCACTTTCAACCAGGAAAACCACTGCACAGGTCAGACCTGCTCATCCAAGCATGGCGACACCTCTCACCGACCAGGAGAAGCGCAAGCAGATCAGCATCAGGGGAATTGTGGGAGTGGAGAATGTTGCAGAGCTGAAGAAGGGCTTCAACCGTCACCTGCACTTCACCCTGGTGAAAGACAGGAACATTGCAACTCCCAGGGATTATTACTTTGCCCTGGCTCACACTGTGAGAGATCACCTGGTGGGGAGATGGATCAGGACACAGCAGTTTTACTATGAAGCAGACCCAAAGGTAAAGATCAGAAGTTGCACTGTCAATGTGAAACCACACCTCCTACTGTAAATATACAGTCCACATATACTTCAGTGTTTGATTCAGCTGCAGCACATTATAAAACATCTCTACATGCAGGTGACAGTTGTCTAAAATATGCTTTAAATATGTTTGTGACACTAAAATCTTGCAACATACGCAGCAAAGAAAGTATGTCATACACACTTGAAACTAAGGTTTGATATATGCATCAGACTGTCCAAAAACTGAGCTAAATATATGTGGTGTACGTGCACAAAGTTTCCCTTAACTTCCTTTAAAACACTCTCTATCTTAAAGTGAAAATAAAATATGCTCTGCTCACTCATTTTCCTGCAGACATGGTGTGTGTTTATCTTGGATGACTGACACAAACTTCTGCTGAGGAGCATATTCTTTGACATGCTTTTTCCATTTTTATGTGGAGCAGTTTTGTGCATGATTTTCTGTTGCGTAAATCTTTCCAGATTTCCAGGAGGTGCAGTTGTTTTTAGCGTCATGTTGACACTGCTCGGAAAATGTTTGCTTGCTCCAGTCTTCATTCATTTGCTGCTCTGCTCTGCGCTGCATTTTCTGCTCCTTCAAGCCACAATCAAACAAGAGTGCAGCACAAATATTTATTCATAGTTAAACGTTGATTCATAGAGATATGTGCCAAGAAACATGTTTTTTCTTCACATGTCCAGAGGGTGTATTATCTGTCCCTGGAGTTCTACATGGGCAGGACGCTCCAAAACACCATGATCAACTTGGGGCTGCAGAACGCCTGCGATGAAGCCATCTACCAGGTCAGACATAAGTTCACATGAAACAGAGCATGCATGACTGTGCTATTTGTGATTACTTCGGGATTTTTGATAAAAATCTGAACAGTGGGCTGTTGTGTTCCCCTCTGCTGCAGCTGGGCCTGGACATGGAGGAGCTGGAGGAGATGGAGGAGGATGCAGGTCTGGGGAACGGAGGCCTGGGGAGACTGGCAGGTAAAAAGCTCCAGATGTTTGACCTAAAGGGACACCAAGAGGAAGAAGATACTTCGTATACTATATACTATTAATCCCTGCCCGGAAATTCAATATTTGTTTATGAGAATTACAGGAAGGGTTTTTTTAATATAGCAGGAAAACAGGAAACAGGAAGAAAGGCTTTCACTGGCTTTAAATGGTTCAAGGATTGTCAGCAGTGCATGCGAACAGTCTATCTCCAGCACAACAATGCTCCATTATAATTTCAGGCTGATCTTGGCAGTTGTCCATCAAATACCTCTGCCTGCCTGTTGAATGTTTGAAGCAACTTGCAGTGACAGAAATGTTGCAACAGAACGTGTAAACGAGCATTACAACATGAACTGTCATTTAGTGTCTCAATTCAGCTCTGCAGAGTTTGTATTTTGATTTAATGTCCTATTATGAATGTTTTTTCTGCACACAGCATGTTTCCTGGATTCGATGGCCACCTTGGGTCTTGCAGCGTATGGTTATGGCATTCGATACGAATATGGAATCTTTAACCAGAAGATAAGAGACGGCTGGCAGGTGACTATAGCCAAACACTCTAAAGTCTTATTTTACCTAAACTGACGAGACATCGCCCGACAGACACTCCAGTTTCTCTCGCTGCAGTTCATAGAACCTTTCTTATCTTTCACTCTGAAATTCAGGACTCTGTTGACAGCTCATGTTCATGCCGTCAGGAGTCAAAGTGGAGCGGGGCCAAAGTAGACATGAATTAGGTCAGAAGAATACCTCACAGGCTAATCATTAACAGTAATTAACAGACACTGCAGTAGTGCAGGCTCCTGGCAGAAGCTGGTGGTGGTTGGTTTTAGATGAACAAAGAAAATACATATTGTGTATCTTGTGATAAGGGATCCCCAAACTGAAGGCGCTTGACCTTGTGTATTCTCGTGGTTGTTTGCTGTTCAAACCCTCAGTGTAAACATGTACTTCTGAACTGGATTGGAGCTCAGTGTAACCTCACTGGGGTGGATGAACCCATACGTTTAATCTCTGCTGCTAGTGGATAGTAAATGCAGTGAAAGGTGATGCATTTTATTGAAAATAATCTAATCTAATTATTGCACTTGATATAACATTAAAACAACTCGATTAATCACAGACAGGAAATCCTCTCTCCCCCTCAGTCTGCTGAATAAAGAGGTCAGCGGTCAGACGAGGTAGCTTCAGTGTCTTGCTCAATCACTCTTCTTTGACTCCTGCTACTCCAACATGTTATATCATATTAAAGCTTGTTATCTTTGCCCTGACTGACCTGTTGTAGGTGGAGGAGGCAGATGATTGGCTGAGGCATGGAAACCCCTGGGAGAAAGCCCGTCCAGAGTACATGCTGCCAGTTCACTTCTACGGACGAGTAGAGGAGACGAGAGATGGCTCCAAATGGGTCGACACTCAGGTACTGAAGATGTGTTTAGATTACAGGAAGTACTGCTGGGCATAACCAGGGGTGGCCCTCCCATAGTAGTCAGTGGGTGATAGGTAGTTAGTATTATAGATGGATTACTGAACAAGTCTACAAGGCACAGGACCAGGGGCCCCTGGAACAGAACGTCTGTATAAAGTGACTGTAAAAAAAATCGTCTCGGGAGAAACAAAACAACACTAAAGAGGTGCAGAGACACAGAATGACAACGAAGAGACGTAAAACAACTACAAATAGATGCAAAATGACAACGAAGAGATGTAGACTGACTACAAAGAGACACTAAAGGACAACAAAGAGATGCAAAACGACTGCAAAGAGATTCAATGACTACAAGGAGACATAAAATGACAATAAAGGGATGCAAAATGACTGCAAAGAGACACAGAACGACAACAAACAGACGCAAAACAACTACAAATAGATGCAAAATGACAACGAAGAGATGTAGACTGACTACAAAAAGACGCTAAAGGACTACAAAAAGATGCAGAATGACTACAAATAGATGCAAAATGACAACAAAGAGATTCAATGACTACAAGGAGACATAAAATGACAATAAAGGGATGCAAAATGACTACAAAGAGACACCAAATGACTACAAAGAGACACAGAACGACAACAAAGAGATACAAAATAAACTACAAAGACATGCAAAATGACCCAAAAGCGACAGAAAATGAGGCAAAGTGACTTGAAACAACCACAAAAAACAAAATTACCACAGAGATGTGAATCTTCAGAAAACCAAAATGCTGCAAAGAGACACAGAACAACTACAAAGAGACTCCAAATAACCACAGACAGAAAACAACTACAAGACACTTAAAGTCACCACATAAAGGCACAAACTGACTGTAAAGACTTGCAAAACAACTACAAAGAGAGACAAAGAGAGACAAAAAGACTACAAAGAGACTCTAAAGGACTACAAAGAGATGCAAAATTACCAAAGAGAGAGGCACACAGCGTTTTCAGAAAAACAAAACACTGCAAAGAGACTCAGAACAACTACAAAGAGACTCAAAATGACCACAAAGAGATGCAAAACAATGACTAAAAAGGTTTTAAAACGACGACTAAGATGCAAAACAGCCGCATTTTACATGTCTGCGTCCAGAAGGCCTGTTGTATGATGACAGGTCCCTGGCTTTATAGAGTTACAAATGGATATATAAACAGCTATTTATTGATATTATGTGTTAAAATGTTTAAGAATAGTTTATGTACTTATTGTTACGAGGCCCAGGGCTTTAGATGTGAGTATAACACATTCTCACTCTCTTTTTTTTTCACCCCATTGTCAGTCTCTAAACCTTCCCCTGGGTAAGATTACAGACTTTCAGTCTGCCCTGTCTTTCTGCTGACGCACTGTTGTCATTTTTATGTATGCAGGTTGTTTTGGCTATGCCCTACGACACGCCCATCCCCGGCTACATGAACAACACTGTAAACACCATGAGGCTGTGGTCTGCTCGTGCCCCCAACGACTTTAACTTGAGAGACTGTGAGTGCTGAAATGTAAAACCAACGTTTGCAAAACAGTCTCTGCATTTCCTTTAAGTTTTCAACAGAGACACTTTGCAAGATAAAGGGGAAACTGCTGCAACACTGGCATCTTGCATAAAGGTGTCTGTGTTGCAAAATGCTGCAGTTTCTTCTCCTGCAGGGTTTAATCTTTGACTCTGGATTACTCTGTGATATAACATGTATACAGTATCACTTTAACTCAATGCACTTCACCTGTCTGTAGTTAATGTTGGAGATTACATCCAGGCTGTTCTGGACAGAAATCTGGCCGAGAACATCTCCCGTGTCCTCTACCCCAATGACAATGTAAGTTTAATATTCTGTCATGAGACACGTGCTTTTTGCATCACAAAATCATCTTCCTCCTCAGGAAAGGATTTCTTCTCTAGTGTTCAACACACTGGTAATCTGTTCCTTCCTGTATGTTCTAGTTCTTTGAAGGAAAAGAACTTCGTCTGAAGCAGGAGTACTTTGTTGTGGCGGCCACACTCCAAGACATCATCCGCCGCTTCAAGACCACTAAGAAGGGCTGCCCTGGCCGAACCTCCTTCAAGAGCTTCCCAGACAAAGTAAGCTTCAAAATCAGTCATTTATTGTTTGATGTTAAGTCCCGTTTCCACCAAACACTTTCAGTATGGTACCTTTGGAACCAAAAGTAACCCTTCAGACATGGTACCTAGACCCTAGCGTTTCCACCGCATACTCTTAAATGTGGGTGGGGTTGTTGTCACTCACTGCTCCGTCCAGCACTCACTGTATTTCCTCCTTTATCAGTCTGCACCCGGTTTATCATCCACAGAACGAGGCTGCACGCCGACATTTTCAGAACAAAATAGAACAGGCTGCAGTGAGAGTCTCTCTCCATGGGATATTTAAAAATAGCAGGTTTGTGCATTTAGTCCTTCTCAGGCAAGCTCAGGGGTTTAGTGTTGCTGTAGCCCACAGGAACGACGTTCCATGACGCTCTTTTGTCCTCTGAGGATTGGGATATTTGCCGTCCCAGTTGAAATTAATATATTTATAGGATGGTTGATGGTCCACTTATTAATAAAAATGTATGTCATATACACTGTTACAAGTAAACGTTCCACCTTAAAAGTCACCGGCAGTCGGCCCAGTGAATGAAGTTATTATTTCTCAGACTCCAGCTGCTGTGAGAGGCAGCAAAACATCCTTTCATTTTATAGTCACAGTTTACTAATAAAACTCTCCACAGTATGAACAGTGGTTACATGAGCCTCAAAACCTGCCACAACTCAGCCCTGAGCAGAGTGACCGTCTTCTACTGACCAATCAGACTGCAGTGTTCACAGCTCCACCTTTTAGTACCAGATCTGTGTGCTAGGTACCCCAACAGAGGGGGGACCAAAAATGGGGACGGAACAGAACAGTTCCATTGGTACCATCCACAACTTTTCACAGTGGAAACGGAAACAAAGTGTACTGAACTGAGATGTACTGTACTGCTCGAGGGAAACACTTCTTTTCTTAACCTCATCATGGCCAAAGATGATCAGGCTATTGCAACAAGATCTTGACAAGATCTTTGCATACAAAGTTGTGGCAAAGCTCATCTTCCTGATTTTAGGTGTGGGGAAAAAAAGGGTAAAATAGAAAACCAACAGAAACGTGCTGAAGACATAATGCATTACCATCAACAGCAATGTGATGTTTGCTCTGCTTTTGGCCTGAATTCCATTACATTGCATTACAGCAACAGCAGACACAGTGTTACCAAGTGAGAAATCTTTGCCAAGTGAGAAACCCTGCAGATATAATATTGTGTGCAGAGGCGAATTTAAAGCAATTTGTCTCTAATTCAAAAGTAATTCCAGATATAAAGCACCTGCAGCCCAATGTTTCTCTTGTCAGTGTTTCACAGCTGCTTCTTTAATCTCCTCTTAATCAGAAACAGTTATAGGAGGTCAGCTCAGTGAGATGGATGTGTCAGTACAGAATGTCATGTTTTCCAGGTCGCCATCCAGTTGAATGACACTCATCCGGCCATGGCCATCCCCGAGCTGATGAGGATCTTTGTGGACATTGAGAAACTCGACTGGGACACGGTGAGTGAGTCAGATTTGGTCGATGAGAGTGACTCAGGTGCAACAGGATTAACTTAGGCAATCATAGCAAGTAACACAAAGGAGGTTAAAACTACAGAGCATGACAAATGAAGGAGATATTCCTGTGTTGCGTAATGTTCATGTGCAGCTGGGAAAGTTGTCAGCCAGGTCCAAACAACAGATGGTAGATGATTTGTGATGTGCATATACAGATATGGAGGGAACACGGGCAAGAAAGCAGGAGAGATTTAGACTTAGATTAGGTTGCAAGTAGTTGCAACGCTCAAATGTTATTTTTAATTGGAGAAAACTCCCCGTCTCCTCCTCCTCTGCAGGCCTGGGACCTCACCAGGCGCACTTTCGCCTACACCAACCACACAGTCCTCCCCGAGGCTCTGGAGCGCTGGCCTGTGGAGCTGCTGGAGACTCTCCTGCCCAGACACCTGCAGATCATCTACCAGATCAACCAGGCCCACCTCGACGTACGTACGGCGGCTCAGACTGCAAAAAGATTGTGTTTCATTGACCGAACACACCTGTGACAGGTGAATCTGATATCCTCAAGGTGTGTCTGTTTTGTTACTGCAGAAAATCGCAGCTCTCTTCCCAAAGGACATGGACAAACTGAGGAAGATGTCTCTGATTGAGGAAGACGGGGGCAAGAGGGTGAACATGGCTCACCTGTGCATCGTGGGATCTCACGCTGTCAACGGGGTCGCTGAGATACACTCCAGAATCATCAAGAATGAAGTGTAAGACATCACACACGCCTTCAAAATGTACACAAGTAAGAGCAGGCTGCAGCTCCACTGGTCATGAGAAAGTGAAGATTTTTACACAACAAATTACAAAGAAACAGCAGCAAATGGCAGCAGAGCGAAGCAAAGATAGCTCAGACCGCTAAACAAAAAGTTGCTAAACACCACATAAGCGTGTCCTCATAGAAGACCACTGGGTTGAATCATCTCTGTTACACACTCTGAACAATGACTGCACTTATTATCAAATAATAATCAAGTGTGTTGATAAGTCAATTTTTAAGTGCATTTACTACACATTGCACATACACTCACTGGCCACTTTATTAGGTACACCGTGCTAGTACCAGGTGGGACCCCTTTTGCCTTGAGAACTGCCTTAATTCGTGGTGTCATAGATTCAACAAGGTGCTGGAAACATTCCTCAGAGATTTTGGTCCATATTGACATGATGACATCACACAGTTGCTGCAGATTTGTCGGCTGCACATCCATGATGAGAATCTCCCATTCCACCACATCCCAAAGGTGATCTATTGGACTGAGATCTGGTGACTGTGGAGGCCATTGGAGTACAGTGAACTCATTGTCATGTTCAAGAAACCAGTTTGAGATGATGTGAGCTTTGTGACATGGTGCGTTATCCTGCTGGAAGTAGCCATCAGAAGATGGGTACACTGTGGTCATAAAGGGATGGACACGGTCAGCAACAATACTCAGGTAGGCTGTGGTGTTTAAACCATGCTCAGTTGGTACTAAGGGGCCCAAAGTGTGCCAAGAAAATATCCCCCACACCATTACACCACCAGCAGCCTGAACTGTTGATACAAGGCAGGATGGATCCATGCTTTCCATCTTCTATTGTCCAGTTTTGGTGAGCCTGTGTGAATTGTAGCCTCAGTTTCCTGTTGTTAGCTGACAGGAGTGGCACCTGGTGTGGTCTTCTGCTGCTGTAGCCCATCAGCTTCAAGGTTGGACATGTTGTTGGTTCAGAGATGGTCTTCTGCAGACCTTGGTTGTAACCAGTAGTTATTTGACTTCCTGTTGCCTTTCTATCATCTTGAACCAGTCTGGCCATTCTCCTCTGACCTCTGGCATCAACAAGGCATTTTGGCTCACTGGATGTTTTGTCTTTTTCAGACCATCCTCTGTAAACCCTACAGATGGTTGTGTGTGAAAATTCCAGTAGATCAGCAGTTTCTGAAATACTCAGACCAGCACAAACAATCATGCCACATTCAAAGTCACTTAAATCACCTTTCTTCCCCATTCCAATGCTCAGTTTGAACTTCAGCAGGTTGTCTTCACCATGTCTCCATGTCTAAATGCAATGAGTTGCTGCCACGTGATTGGCTGATTAGCTATATGTGTTGATGAGCAGTTGAACAGGTGTACCTAATAAAGTGGCCAGTGAGTGAGGTTTAAAAGAAAATCAAAAATCTGCAAAACAAAATTACATTCTCATTATTTTGTCACCGACAGACCCAATTAAACATTTCCCGTTTTTCCTCCACAGATTCCGTGATTTCAGTGACCTAGAATCAAGCAAGTTTCAGAACAAAACCAACGGCATCACTCCCAGACGCTGGCTGCTGCTCTGCAACCCTGGACTGGCTGAGCTCATCGCCGAGGTTTGTTTGAGCGATAAATGAATAAATGATCGAGTGTCGAGATGTAGTAGCGAGCGATGAAGACTCCTGAATCCTCAACAGTATATTCCCCAGCTGTCGTGTGAGCGACTCTTGGCCCTCGCGTTCTCTCCTGAGTGTTTTACAGCCCGTGTTATATGAGATGGAGCGTAGTAAACACTGTCAGTTTTTTTTGCGCACATTTTATTGTGACCTTTAACGTCTCCCTCAGGTCATTGGGGAGGATTATGTGAAGGACCTCAGCCAGCTGCAGAAGCTGAATGACTTTGTTGATGACGCTGCCCTCATCCGTGACATCTCTAAAGTCAAACAGGTAAATAGGTACATTTTCTCTGTGTTGTACTGAAGTATAATTTTAAGGTACTTGTACTTCACTTGAGTATTCCCATTTTATGCTATGACATGAGAGTAGTTTAATTGCTTAAATAAAATAAGTATTTCATGGCATAGTGGTTCCTGTTTTCATGTTACACAAATGATTGCATGATGTTGCCATAAATGCAAAGTGGTGGCTTTCCTCTAAATGTCCTGTTGCAACATTAATCAAATTTTTTCAACATGAAAAGTGTCAACTTTTACCCTATTTCTGTGTGCAGTCAAACCATCTCTCAGACACATTATTGCAGGGAGAGACATTACCATCTGATTTATTCGTGCATTGCAGCATTGCCTTCTACAGCCTTAAAGCCAGTACATGTCCAGACAGGCCCCACCTGCGGTTTAGCAATGTTCAGTGTTCCCTCAATGAACAACTCGTTTGTTGCCAGGTCACGTACTTACGCTTTTCTCTCAGGACAACAAGGTGAAATTCGCCCAGTACCTGGAGAAAGAGTACAGAGTGAAAATCAACCCGTCCTCCATGTTTGATGTCCACGTGAAGAGAATCCATGAGTACAAGCGCCAGCTCCTCAACTGCCTGCACATCATCACCATGTACAACCGTATGTGAAAGCATTCATTACTAAATGTTTCACAAGATTCTGTGAGTGCTGAGTTACATCACAAATTCTGACATGTCCTGATGTGGAAGATTGCCAGCCGACCGCCGAGCATGTTAAAACAGACACTAAGAATGAGAGGAAGCTGCCTTTTATATCAAGTGTGGGAACTTTCTCATGTGTATCATACTGTGATTAACAGGAAATCATGTCTGATCTGTGCAACTTAAATGCAGACTTTCCCTGCATGTAAAGCCTGGGATACTCCAAGCAATTATGCCATTTAAGTCTATAGTACATCTCATAAAAAATGTAAATTAATTGTCTTTTAATTGCTTAAAAGACCAAAAGAAGAAGACATAAATTACTAAGAACAAATGCATCACAAAACAAGAGGCGACAGCCATGCTAGCAGCTCTGCACAGCTAAATCCTAACATTAACATGTTAACAAGCTAATGTAAAGCGGGTGATGTTTGCAGCGTTTAGTTTAGCGTGTTAGCATGCAAACATTTGCTAACAGTAACAAAGACAATGCACAGCTGAGGCTGATGGAGGTGTCATTACTTTTGAAGGTATTTGGTCATAAAAATATTAAACCTGATGATGTAGCCAAATGAGATGTTAAAGGAACAGTTCACCCCAAAATAAAAAATCCCCTCAAAAGTCCCCTCTTACCTGTAGTGCTGTTTATCAGTCTAGATTGTTTTGGTGTGAGTTGCAGAGTGTTGGAGATATCGGCCGTAGAGATGTCTGCCTTCCCTCCAACATAATGGAACTAGATGGCACTCAGCTTGTGGTGCTCAAAGCCCCAAAAAATACAGTTGAAAAACTCAACAGCAATGTCTCTTTCCAGAAATCATGACCTGGTTACTCAAGATAATCCACAGACCTTGTTGTGAGTTGTTTCATGTAGGAACTATTTTCTCTCTGCAGAACTACATCCACCAACTGTATCACCACACAGGGTGTTTTCACATGCTCTTCGTATGTTTTCCTTTAAATCGTACATATCCCACGTATTTTAAAGGGCTGTGTCGCTGGACTGCTTCTTAATTTACTCCAGTCTGCACTCCCGAATGGTCTTCTAAGAGGGAAGGTTGGGGTGGTGGATGGGTAACAAAAATGCAGACCTTACCCTGAAGTCGCGTGTCCAGAACTGTGTGAACTTTGAGTCATTTTAAGATACACCCTCATCATGTTTCTTTTCCTGAACCCAACCTCAGTAACCTTACGTTGATTACATAGGTGTATGTTAAGGACGTAACATTATTCGTGGGGCACTAATTCATAGGCTATTGTACGAACCATTCTATGAGAATACATTGCACCACGTAGGATGATGCCGGCATCTATCTATGGATGAAAGGTTTGTGACAGATCGAGATGTAAACATTAAGCTGTAACGTTAGCTAGCTCAGTGGTGCTAGGCGAGCTAGCAATAGATGCACGATTCCTTCTGTGCGGTGATACAGTTGGTGGGTGTAGTTTGGTAGAAAGAAAATAGTTCCTGCATGAAACTGCTCACAACAAGGTCTGTGGATTATCTTGAGTAACCAGGTCATGATTTCTGGAAAGAGACATTGATGTTGAGTTTTTTAAATGTATTTTTTTGGTCACCAAAAGCTGAGTGCCATCTAGTTCTATTACATTAGAGAGAAGGCAGACATCTCTATGGTCGATATCTCCAACACTCTGCAACTCACACCAAAACAATCTAGACTGATTTTTGATTTTGGGGTGAACTGTCGCTTTAAGCCTTCCCAAAGTTAGTGTCTCCCTGAGGATAACATGAATGTCCATGCTAATTTTTGTGGCTATCCATCTGATAGTTGTCAAGACATTTTACTCAAAACCACAAATATCAACCAGCAAGTGGTGCTAGAGGACAAGTCTTATCCTCTGTAGACCATTAATGTTGTACAAAGTTTCATGACAATCCATTCAGTCGCTGCTGAGCTTTTTCAATCTGGACCAACTGACCAGTGAGCATTTCCATCCTGAGAGCCACACCAGCAGCATGGCTAAAAACAAATAATATAAAACATATATAAAATGTGTTGTGCAACTTGCAGCTTCCTGTTTTTATTTTTTTTTGTACTGGCTTTATGAAAAATTAGCAGGCACATTAAGTGTTTAAATCAGTTCTCTGACCAACTTGTGGTCAATGCAGAAACCTGACAAAATTGTAATGTGTTCATATTTTTTTGTGTCTGTTTTTGTCCTCAGGCATCAGAATGAGACCCAATGCACCTTTTGTACCACGAACAGTGATCATCGGAGGAAAGGTATAGATCAGCGACAGCAGACGTGACAAACAGCAGATGATATCCAATAAACACAGGCCAACAGTGGTGTAATGTTTTATTTTCATAGTAAGTCGGTCCTCTGTCGTCCACTGCAGGCTGCTCCTGGGTATCACATGGCGAAGCTGATCATCAGGCTGATCACTGCTGTGGCTGATGTGGTGAATAACGACCCTGTGATTGGAAGCAAGCTGAAGGTCATCTTCCTGGAGAACTACAGGGTCTCTCTAGCAGAGAAAGGTATCGTTCAGACACAATCACATGGTGTTGTCCCTTTTAAGAATTACTGTACAAAAAATCACACAAGTGCATGTGCAGAATTCTGACGTGAAGAGTTTGATTATATTGTATGACTTATTTTGGAGGGATATTTTAGGGTAGTTCACCAGAATGATGTGCTCTTCCTCAGTGATCCCTGCCACAGATCTGTCCGAGCAGATCTCCACCGCCGGCACTGAAGCCTCAGGAACAGGAAACATGAAGTTCATGTTGAACGGAGCTCTGACCATCGGCACCATGGACGGAGCCAACGTGGAGATGGCCGAGGAGGCTGGAGAGGACAACCTGTTCATCTTCGGCATGAGGGTGGAGGACGTGGCTGAAATGGACAAAAAGGGGTGAAGGAGGGGTTCGCTTACACTTACGTTTTCTTAGCTCTTTTTCATGTCGTTAAAACAATACTAACTTTTGTCTTTTTACAGATACGATGCCATGTCGTACTACACGAAGATCCCAGAGCTGAAACAAGTGATGGACCAGATCACCAGTGGATTCTTCAGTCCTAAAAATCCAGATCTTTTCAAAGACCTCACTGAAATGCTCTTTAAATATGATCGGTAAGCAACACTCACATTCTAGTTCCAGTTCAAGTTACTAAGTTATTTAATAATACCCCCAAGGCTCCAAAACACTTTTGTTTTTGTTCCCATTTTTTACAGGTTTGAGGTAAAGATCTCAAACTTTTTATGCGCTCAAGAGATATATTTCTCTCAAATTGTGTGTATACGTTTATTAAAATACATGTAAGCGAGCATCTCTCCTTTTCCAAGATAATCCATCCACCTGACAGGTCAACTTCAACTTTATTTTGTCCCTAGAGGGCAATTAGTTGCACAGGAAGTAAAATCATACATAAAAAAGACACATGGGAACACATAAGAATATTAATACTCAACAAACGTGTGGAGGTGGAGGGAACCAAATACAGTGATCTGAAACAACAGTGGTCATCAACAACAACCATCAGTATCAACATCAACCTCTTCATCGACATCATCACCATTACTTGTCACATGATCATAACAAGAGTTACAACCAGCCAGGAGTAGCATCAGTACTTAGGGTGTTTTCACACTTGGTCTTTTTCAGCCCTCTGAGCAGACTCAGAGCGGTGACTCAGCATTTTTTGCGCATATGTGATCACTCCACCTCCCGCCACCAGTTCGCTTGAAGTCCACAGTGCTGCTCCCTTAACCTGTGCACTGTGAACACAAAGCGCTCCAGGTTGTTGCTCTTTGCCATTGTATTTAGCCCTCTAGATCACATGCTATTGCACCGGGACGCTTGAAAAAAACAGACTAAACCATGTCAGCCTGTAACGCTTGCAAGGACGCAAGACGAGGAGTAGTTTGGTTCATGGAAGATACTGCACGTCTCCAGATGTGGAATGTAGAATACATCAAACAGATACAGTCCACAACACAGAGACACTCAGGTTTTCCTCCAATTTTAAGTTCATGTGAGAGTGAGGGGCTTCATAACTGCATTGCAGTGCCACGTCAAAGTAAAAACAAAACTACATCAATATATATTAACTGAGTCACTTTACTGTTGGTCCAGTTTTTGGTGCACTTTAAGAGGACTGAGTTCAGTTTGTTTTATATGTGAAAACACCCCGAGTTTGACTCCTCCACTGCCCTGCATTCAAATGACAAATAGCAGTAGAAATGAAGGAGAACTTGTACTCTTAACAAAGGGAAATCTGATCCAAGAGCCAGAAGGCAAAAACTGTAACTTGGAGAAGGAGGGGTTGGGAGCTATCAAAGGATGGTTTCAGCCTTCCTTCCTTCCTATCTGTTGATGAAACAGGACAGATAACACACTCTGCTGAACTCCTAACATCTTGCTGCTCGTTTTCACTTTGCTACCTAGTGCATTTTTGAACTTGATGTTGAGATTCGCAAACCAGCAGAGAAGAGAGAAGGTCAAGACAGATTCAATATAAGATCTGTGAAGTAGGATCAGAAGAGACTTGTCAATGTGAAACTTAAACAGTTTCCTTGGGCAAGAAAGATGTTGCTTGTTTTTTTGTTTTTTTTTGCACAACACAAATTTTAAAATGAATCTGTTGTTGTGCTTGCTGCAGCAGTTTTCGGTATACAGAGTGTAAAGGAGAGGGGAAAGAACACAGCCTTGGGGAAACCCAGTGGATGATGTCAGTTCCCCCAACATGCTTCTGGAAGTCAGAAAATCAAGGATCCAGCCCACAATATCACAATCTAAATTATTAGTAAATTTGTTTACTAAAATGTGGTACTGGATCGTGTTAAAAGCAAACAAGAAATCCACAAAAGTTGCTGTTTGCATAACAAATTTACCTTCGGGTACTAATAAAGAAACCTTGAACCTTGAACAAACAGCAGCTTTGCATGTGTTGTACATCCTTCAGGATGTTTTAAAACAAGGTTCAGCAGGTGTGGCATCAAGACACTGATTAAACAGCATCATCACTACACAGGTGTGTGTCCCAAGTTTTAAGGGTGCATGTCATCAGCATGCTGACTGCAGGAATGTCTGCAAGAGCTGTTGCCCGTGACCTGAATGTTCATTTCACTACCACAAGATGTTTCCAATGTCGTTTGGTGATTTTGGCAGTCCTCCTAACCAGCCTCACAACGGTTACAACAACAAACTGCAGTCTGTTTGGTGAGGATGATGAGCATGCTGATGAGCTTCACTGAGACGGTTTGTGACGATGTGTGCAGAAATTCTTTGGTTGTGCAAACCATGTGTTGCATCAGCTGTTCAGGAGGCAGCCCTCAAATGATCTTGCAGGTGAAGACGATGTAACAGACCTCAGCTGGTGTGGTTAGTGTTTGTGAGGCCAGTTGGATGTACTGCCAAATTCAGGGAAACAACATTGGAGACATCTTGTGGTGGATAAATGAACATTCAGTTGAAGGCAACAGATCAAACTGCACATCATAGAGTGTCCTTTCACTGTGACAAACCTCAAGGCACACCTGTGTACTGATGACGCTGTTTCATCAGCATCTTGATTTGCCACACCTGTCAGGTGGATGGATTATCTTGGAAAAGGAGAAGTGCTCTCTAACATGGATTTTAACAAATTCGTGAACCACAGTTTGAGAAAAATGTATATATTTAAGTGTATAAAAACTCTCAGGTCTTTAGCTGAAACCTGTGAAAAGTGGGAGCAAAAACAAGTGTTGCATTAAAATTTTGTTAAGTGTATTTTATGTGGGAAGCAGAAGTCACAGATCAACTAATACTGTAATGACAACAATAAGTCTTTCGTAGCGGTTCTTGTCATGATGGATGTCCTCTAATCTTCTGTACACTGTCTGACTTTTCTGTTGAGTTCAACTTGTCAGACTTCATGTATTTATTATTTTGTGTCTCTCTTCAGTTTCAAAGTGTTTGCAGACTTTGAGGACTACACGAAATGCCAAGAGAAAGTCAGCAAGCTCTACCAGGTAACATTTCCCCCAACAGACGAGTGGCCTGTTTGTTTACAGCTGGGTTTTAGTTGTGCAGCGCTTATTTCATTCACTACTTTTTTGTTTTTGTTTTACTTTGTTTCTGTTTTTCCCTTTAATTTTTCTTTTTATGTGCTGTCTTTTGTCTTTTCTTTGTTTTGCTGTACTTTGGTCTACAGATTTTTTGTTTTCTTTTTTTGTTTTATTTTATTTTGTTTCATTGTACTTTGTTCATATTTTTCCTTTTTTGTTTTTTACTTTATTTTTGTTTTTTTCCCTTATCATTTCTGATGACTGTTTCCATTCACTTTATGTTTACTTTTCCCTTTTTGTTTTGTTGTAATTTATTTTCCGTTTACTTTTTTCTGTTAATTTGCTTTCTTTTCTTTGTTTTGTTTTACTTTTTTCCACAGATTTTTTGTTTTCTTTTTCCTTTTTCATTCTTTTACTTTTGCTGTTTTACTTTTCATTTGTTTTTATTTGTTTTTACTTTCCTTTTATCTTCTTTTTCTGATTTTGTTTTGTTTTCTTTAACTTCATTCTCTTCTTTCTTTTTGTTTTTCTTTTATAATAGTGTGAGATAACATTAAAAAATAATGTCATTGAGAACTTTGAGAAAGGTATAGAAGAAGTGACTGTCAAAAGAAACGACAAGTAACAAGTCTAAAATGGTCAAGCAAGAATAAAAAAATATGATAAGTATCACAATTATCTCAAGGATAGCAAAGCTACAGAGGCAAAAATACAGTGCAGTATGAATGTTTTATTTTTCTCCAAAAGAACCCAAAGGAGTGGACAAAGAAGGTGATTAGGAACATCGCTGCCACAGGAAAGTTCTCCAGCGACAGAACCATCACAGAATACGCCACTGAGGTGTGGGGCGTCAAGCCGACTGACCTGAAGATCCCTCCTCCAAGTGAGCCAAGGGAGGCCATCGAAGAAACAGTCAGAGCTCTGAAGAAAATATGAGGCTGTTTCACAACCGAGGGGCTGCCTTTATGTTTACAGATCATTTACTGTTTCCTTTCCTTGCGCTCTTAACCTTCAAGTCTGAACTTTTTCAAGAACTGTGGGTGTCTCAAAAATGACATCTGCACGTTTTCATTTAACACTTTTTATTGTCAAACTACCTGAGTCAAAGAATTCGCATCACAGAATTGTCTGTTATAGACCTTTAGCATCAACAAACACATTCAACCAAGTGTCAGTGCAGAGACCACATTTATTGTTATTTGTGAATTCAAATGGCCCCCCGGACAGGACAATGCACCATGCCACACCACAAAAACTGCTCAGGAATGATCTGAGAAATGGAAAAAGAGCTTTTTTGAGTCCTGTGAGTTGTGAGGTGGGGTACAAGTACATACCACAGATGTTTGATCAGATTGGGATACAGGGAATCTGGAGGCCAGGTTGACACCTTGAGCTCTTTGTCACATTCCTCAAGTCATTGCTGAGCAGTTTTCATGGTGTGGCATCACACTGTCATGCTGGGGGGGGCGGGCACTGCTACTTGGGAGTGCTGCTGCCATAAGGGGGGGGTACCTGGTCTGCACTGGTGTTTTGGTGGGTGGAGTGCATCAGGTGGAAACCACATGAGTCAGAACTCAACAACAGAACATTGCATTGTAACAAGATGATCAGTGTTCACGTCACCTGTCAGTGGTTTTAATGTTTTGGCTGATCGGTGTATACTTTACTACTTTTATTATGGACCCTACCTTACAACATCAGTTCCCCTCTCTGATCATCAATAAATTAAACTGTCAAACACCTTGATTGTAACACAGTGATATTCAGGCCTCACTAATTGTTTTTGAACACATAAATTCCTCTCAAATCATGTAAACTGTCTCATTTGAAACAACTTCTGGATACTATTAGGTACTATTTGATTTTTGCTCTGTTCATGATTTGAACTGTTTTTGAAGTCGACCAGATCTTTGAATTTTAGTGCTTTAAATTTGATAAAGAGTGGGTTTATTGGTTCTCTGTAAGTGCTTTTGTTTACAGTTCTTATTGCTCTTTTTGTTTAGAATGAAGATTGGATTTGTGTTTGATTTCTATGTATTTCTGGCCACTTCCAAACACTAAGTTATATATGGGACTAAAACCCTGATTCCAAAAACGTTGGGGCACTGTGTAAAACGTTATTAAAAACAGAATGCAAAGATTTGCAAATCTTTTTTGACCTGTATTTGACTGATTAGATACAAGATATTTGATGTTCAAACTGATAACAATCACTGTTTTATGTAGATATAAGCTCATTCTGAATTTGATTTCTGAAACATGTTCCAAACATGTTGAGACAGGCGAAACAAAAGACTGAAAGTTGTACAATGCTCAAAAAACACCTGTTAACACATTCCACGGGTAAACCACCTGTAGTCCAGACTGGTCTACCATTGGAAATGTGTGGCGCATTATGAGGCGCAAAATACATCAGCAGAGACCCAGGTATGTTTAGCAGCTGAAGTCGCATATCAAGCAAGAATGTGACAGAAATTCTCTTTTAAAAACTTCAACAATTAGTGTCTTCAGTTCCCAAACACTTACCGAGTGTTGTTAAAAGAAAAGGTGTTGTAACACAGTGATAAACATGCCCCTATCCCAACTTTTTTGGCATCAAATTCAGAATGAGTGTATATGAGTGTCTTTGGACTGTATTCAATTAAAAAATAGGTCAAAAAGATTTGCAAGGCATTACATTCTGTTTTTATTTCAGTATTACACAGCATCCCAGCTTTTGGGGAATTGGGGTTGTATAAAGAAACAGAAGATTACGTTTAATTTAGAAGATCTTTGACTTTATATAATAGTAGTTTATTAGTTATTATAATAGTTTATTGTCTATTAGAGTTAAAAAAAAATTTTTTGGACACTCTTTTGGTTTTTACTTCATTTATCATAAGGTTCTTGTTTTTGTTAGTTAAATGATTCCCAAATATTATAAATTTCATTTTATTTAAATTCAGTGTTAGCATATTAGTTTGTTAGAATTAAAACAGCTCTTTGGCATTTTCCTTTATTTCCCTGCTGTATCCAAATGTTGTTCCAAGTCCTTACCACAACAAAATAAATCAGTATCATCTGCAAATAATGTTGTTTTCAGTATCTTGGAGACCTCACATATATCAATTATATCATTTAAGATAAACAACAATGGTCCCAATATAGAGCCCTGGGGAACTCAGGTTATTTATTTGGATATACTGGTCCCTATTGTCCAGGTAGTGCTAACCCTCTCATGCTTATCTCATTTGTTTTTAATGTATTTAATAATAATTCATGGTCAACATTGTCAAATGCTTTTTTTCTTTCTAGAAATTCTCCTATTGCATATTCTTTCTTTTATACTGCATTTGTTATTTCCTCCACAAAATCCATTAGTGCAAATGAGACTGTCCTCTTAGCTCTTAACCCATGTTGCTGTTCACACAGTATATTATGTTTAGTGAGTAATTCATTTGATCTTTTATAGATTTTTCAGTATTTTTCAGTGTATAGAAACTGTGGAAGTAAGTGCAGTAGAATGTCAGTAACTGAGCACTGAACTAAACCAAATTGTAAGTCACATTCCTGCTTCATCTACTGAGTGACAACGCCTGTGTATCCTCCAGGCAGGAGATTTGTATGTGTCTGTGTCAATAAAACTTTGCTGAGGAAAGATAACAACCTGTGTCACTGTGATTTATATAATTTTGTCTGTGTTAAAATAGAAACTAATGTAACATGTCGAATCACTGTTTTTGTCTCGCACCACAAACACACATTTTGTGACAAATTTAACCCTGTAAAACCCACTGTTGCAAATTTGCAACATCACTTTTAACAATTCTAAAAAAAAGCCTGCAAATGTTTTTTTTTTCTCAAGACCACATTTACATAGTTAATGGGTCCTATTGTTTGTCCTCACAGTGCTATTGGATAGAAGAAGTGTTTATAGGTCTGGTCATCTGGCCATGAACTCACTCTACCTGCAAACTTCCCGTTGAGCTCATCTCCTTTTTTTGCATGACTGGATTTGTCAGGATTAAAGTAAGTAAAATTCCTTAAATATTTTTTTTGTGTTTATTACAATGTCTAGAACATGTACATATTTAGTTATTTTGGAAAACATTCATCAAATTTGATTTAGAGCTTGTTATGTCTATATTGTAATTCTACAACGTTGGGTCAGTGTGGTAGTCAAAATAGCCTGTGCTCCTTGCACATTACATAAGGTCACTGCACTTCTCACATGGTCACAGATTGAAAAAAAAATGTAGTAGAAATTTAAAGTATTAGATGATTCATTGTAACTAAGCTCTAAATGTGCTTTTCTGTTAAATTTTTACTTAGTTTAGCTTAGACCATAATTAAACACATGAACAAATTGTATGGGGTATTTGAAACCCCAGCATCTATAGCAGTATTTGAAACTCCCTGTATCTTTGTAGTTTTTTGTTTGTTTTTTAACTTCTAAATGATCTTGAGCTGTTTTTCTCAGTGTTGCCCAAGCAGCAGTTTGTAGCATTAGGAGATAGAAAAACAGGTTCTGAATGTTCTGGATTTGTTGGGGGGATGCCTGTTGCATTGTTCAGGGACAGGTGCGAATGGTCTTGAATGTGAAACTGTAAGTGCTCTGGGGGGATGCATGTGTTCCTTTTAGTATGATACATAGAGAGCATAATAGGCCAGCCAGACAGTATTGTTTGAATGTACCACCAATAATAAGGAAATTGAGAAGATGCTTGGCATGTACCTGAAGATAGGCCTAATGCAAATGTCTGGAATCCGTATGTATTGGGAGACAGACACACAGTACACCCCTGTTTCTGATGTGATGTCCTGCAACAGATTCCAATCTCTGTTGACTTCATTACACTTTGTAAACAACTTGACTGTGTCAGAGATGGAAAAGAAGGACAAACTCTGGAAACTCAGACCATGCAGGTGGTACCCGAAGAGCACAACTCTATGGATGAAATGTTGATTCCTTTCAAGGGGAGATTCAGTAACATCAAGCAATATATGCGCGGCAAGTCACACCCATGGGGGTTCAAACTGTGGGTGAGAACTGGAATCACTGACTTTGATGTGTACCAAGGGAGTGTTGATGGAATACGACAAGCCAAATCTGAACTTGGACTGTCAGGTGATGTTGTGATGAAGCTTGCCTCCAAGCTTCCAGAGGGTCAAAACTACAAGATCTATGCAGACAACTACTTCACCTATGTCCCATTGGTAGTCAAGTTCCTTGAGCGTGGAATCCATTATGTGGGAACAGCGAGGCAGGTACGCCTACCCAACTGCAACCTTGAAGATGAGAAGAGCTTGAAGAAAAAGGGGAGAGGAAGCTTTGATGTCCAAGTGGAAGGGAACCACAACATCTGCGCTGTCAAATGGTATGACAACAGAGCGGTCACACTTGTGTCATCCTTTGCTGGACCAGAACCTGTGCAGAAGATTCAGCGCTGGGACAAAGCCACCAAAACCATTATTGATGTTGAGAGGCCTTACATTGTTGGTACCTACAACAAACACATGGGAGGTGTGGATTTGCTGGACTCATTTGCTGCCAAGTACAAGTTCCCCATGACATCCCGCCGCTGGTACATGTACATCTTCTGGCACACCATCATCCTTGCTGTGATTAACGCCTGGCTCCTCTACAAGCGGGACTGTAAAGCTCTGAAGATGACCAAGAAAGAGATACTGAACAGGAGACAGTTTCAGGTACAACTTGCATCCTCTCTCATCCTGGTGAACACACACAACACAACACCCAAGAGAGGGCGACCATCTTCAGGGAAGACGAACACATTCACACAGACGGTGACATCAGGGAGCCCTTTGGGTCCTCAGAAGAGACCATCCTCAACAGATGTGAGTCCCCCAGCCAAGAGGTCATCGGACCACCCTCCACTGGATGTACACAAAGACATGATTGCACATTTCCCAAAACAGACGAAGAGAGGACGCTGCAGACACTGCAATAATGGATACACAAACACACTGTGTAGCAAGTGCAATGTTTGCCTGTGCTTCACAGATGAAAAGAACTGTTTTAGGGACTATCACTGCAAGTGAACACAGACTTCATTCAAACCACATTGAAAGTGACGGAGGAAAAAGTTTTATAAATACATTTTTTTCCAATATTTTTATTAATAAATGCTTATTCATAAAACTATAATTGTTGTGTGATTATTACTCATGATATGTACTGTTATGGGGCTAAGTAAGCAATCAATCCTGCAAATGAATACTTAAATGTTCTGTATATCTGTTCAGACAAAGTGAGTACAAACACACAAGTTCTGCTCCCAACACTGCAAATTTACAACATTTCCCTAAAAACTTACTAAAATGTAAAAAAAATTGAAAACTCTTTAATTTCTACATCAGAGGCCTCCTAAAACAATATCTGAGAGGTCAACAAAAAAAATTGCTCATTTTTTTTCTATATCTGGGTCTTACAGGGTTAAATCGGTATGCTAGAATCTATTGCATGTTTTTTGAAGGTGGGAGAGGCGGTCTTCTTTTACAGGTTCCGTAGAAAATTCCTGCAAACAAAAAAACAGATGAAATATTACATTTGTTTCCTGTTGCTTTCTGTTGTTTTATGGACATGGTTTACAAGGAAAATACAGCTAACTTAATGATAAACAGTAAAATTCTGTTTTGACAAAAACTTACCTGACCACATCATTTAGATGGGGATCTAAATAGACAAAGCTGTGATCGTATTTAAGATCTGCTCTGTAGGTGACCATTTTAACCGGAACATCTCTGTTACGTTCTTTCTTAGCCTGGAGTGATATCCTGAACAGCTGGAGACAGAAAAAAAGCAAAATAATTCAGCAAAGAAGCAGCAACATAGAAAATGATCTAAACACACATGTAGACCCACTGTACCTCCAGACCCATCGTAAAGGGAACAGTATCGTCATCCTCTGAATGCAAGATAAGGAGTGGACTTTCCAAGACCTTCACACTGTGGTGACGATAGAGAAAAATATATATTTACAGTCAGAGAGAGAAATATTAAATTTATACAGCACCATTTTATCATATTCTTTTGTACACTGCCCTCTGCATTTATCAAAAGATGGCAAAGGTTGTAAACCCTGCAAAATTAGTAAACAACGTATTAGAATAAGAGCCACAAATAGACCCTTTTACAGTTGGTAAACAGGATGATGTTTTTAGGTGGGTGGGGCTTAGCTGGAGGTAAAACAATAACATTGACATTTTGGTCATGGACTTTCCACGTCCACATACAACATGAAAGGTACCCTTGGTGCATTGGTTGTTGACATTCTGGCTGTGTCAAGTTCTGCCTGTTACATGCATTGTCTTCTTTCAAAATACTCTTACGCTTTTACAGGAAATTTACGTTGGTGCACACTGCAACTTGATGTCAAATGCACGTACTTGGGTTTAGGCAACAAATGCACGTGGTCAGGTTTAGGAAAAAAGAACATTCAGGACACAAACACCGCTCTCTCGGTGAAAGTTTGGTGAAAGTTGGTGTTTGTTGGACCCATCCACCACCTTAACTTTCATTCTTGTCCAGCTGTGTTTCCCCCTGACGCCGCCGGGCACCGTTAAACTGTAACAGCAACCAGCCGTGTATCATGCCGATGGTAAAGGACACCTCTTTCTATTGGTTTCTGACACCGCAAGTCAATGCCAAATGCTGGATTTCGACGACTTCGGAGTGAGACCCCGTTTAAAACAATTCTCCACAGACATTAGCTACCGCGAGCTAGTATGTTCTGTTGGCTTGTTTTAGACAGTGGAGGAAGATGATGCGAGTTGTGCACTCAGAAATATTCATTCTGGGTGTTGCAACGCACTCTTGCACAAACTGGACCATTTGTAAATTCAGAGTGGTGTCTGAATGTCTAACATTTAGTTATTCAGAGCACCGGACACCACACAAAGGAGGATGACACTTGAATAGTTTCTGCCACTTGGTTCTGTTATTGAAGCTAACATTAGCTAATGCACTACAAAAAGTAAGCGTTACAGAGAAATCTCTGATGATAGCCTCCACTCCTTTGTTTTTGTTGATGGGCAGTGACGGCTGGTATGTGATAAAATTTAAGTTTTGAGCCATGACTCCTCCTTTTCTGGCTCCCAATAACAACATGATGACATTTTAAGACTCCTATGTAGCCTACAGCCCTGTGGTGGAGAGTCATGTTTTGCCTCCAGCTAACAAACTGACGTCATTGTGACATCGGCCCTAAAAGGGTCCATAGACAATAAGAAAAAAAAAAGTACTTACTTTTCATTGTTTGCAAACTTAAGTTTGTTCTTTTGCAATGTCTTCCAAAGCAATTGCTTAAATCCTGGAAACGTCTTGTACACCTGGAAAAAAACACGGTACAAAATATTTAGCAATTTCCTGTGTATTGTGAGAGTAAAACCACAAATACTTTCAGAACAAAATACTTTAGGAAACAAAAAATCACACTGTTAAAAAAAAAAAGGGAACGGGGGTTGCCCTATATGTAGATAGGAACTACAATAGTAAAATTGTAAAAAGCATGTCACTAACACTGCACAACATCATGGAATGTATCACCATTGAAATTGAGATTGAAAAGTCAAAAAATATTCTTATTAGCTGTATCTACAGGACCCCTGGATCATGTTTAAAAACCTTCATGGAGAAAATA